TAAATAAATCCATTATTTAACCTTTTGAGTGTGTCCATAATACGATTGAATCGTAAGCGCACGGGTGAAGACCCACAGACAGGCAACCCAATTCACAATGGGGTGCCCTGTAACACTTATACCTTGGGAAAATACCTGTGAGCGGAATGGCAGCATCACATAGTACAAGGGTTTTCATCTTAAAGGTTTTTTTTGCAGTAAAATGTACAAATGAAACACTGTCTTTAAAATGTGCAGTAGCCAGGCCCTCCCTGATGGCGCAATGAGTTAAGGCACTGTTAGGGTCCGAGAACTCGATTACCGCAAAAGACAGAGTGTCACACAAGAATGCAAACCACTAGGCAGAGTTTATTCGGCTGGCTAGCTAGGGTCAAGCCGTTCCCTGTCCGACATGCAGGACCTAGGGTGAGAGCGAGACCCCGACCAAGGGAATGTCAGAGAACATATAGGCCTTATTAGCCGTTACATACATCAGAGCCCGCACAAATTCAACTTAAAAATGGACTCAAAGATTAACAGAAGTCACAGCCTAAGTCACAGTTCAACCACCCAAGAACAGGTTTCTAGGAATAGATGTCTCATTTCCTAGTGCCTCCAGTCCAATCAGCCTGGGCCACACCATTCCCTTTATCCAATCAATTTAAATGTACATTGTCCCTCTTCAACCTATCCTGCATGGGGCGGGGGGAGTGCTTGCCTGGGCTTGTTTTGTTCAGGCCTACATTACTTCCTCCATTCCTTCAGGCACAGCACTAGGAAGCTACCCACATGGCGCAGCAGACCTCTCCTGTCTCACCTGCTGCTCCCCTCAGCAGTATATTTCTGCTGATCTGCCTGTTCTGCTCCCTGCTTTGTCTCTGGTTGCCGCGTCCGGCTGATTGGAGCCGAGTCCGGCGAGGGACGATGAGGTTAAAGAAAACACAGGACGCCGAGGTTCTTCATCCAGGAGTCTCTCCATCCAGGAGTCTCTCGTTTATTTCCAGCGATCCCTTTATATACCATTAGGCAGTAGGAGTGGAAGATTAAGGCGGGAAAGGAGGAAGTAGGGATTTTCTCTTGCCACACCGCCTGTAGCTGCCAGATGCTGACACTCCCTTACAAGGGAGTGTGCTAGGGCAGAGAAAGGTCAGGTCGTCCCTGTGGCGTCTTAGGCAGATAAACACAAGTCTGTGATGGCTTTATCGGCCCGATCACCTGGCCACCTTGACACGCACAACAGGGGGCACATCCCCCGGAGCCCCGGGGGTAGTGTGCTAACTCGGCACCAACATCTGGTGAATCCTTCCACCACCCCTGTACCTCTAGCTTATACCCCAGTTCTGTATGCATAAATAAATCTTTTTTTAAAATGTGCAGTAACCAAAGTATGCTATTTTAAATCTGAGCAACAGATAGTTCCTATTTATCCTATTATCCTTCGACATATTTAAACTGTCACTGGGATTAGTCTCAGCGCTATCAAGCTATCAGCAGCCACAGAAGCATTAGTTCAATCCTGCTAGGGAGCTGACCCACGCGATCCAGCAGACCTCTCCTGTCCGCCCACTGCCCCCCTCAACAGTGTATTTCAGTAGATCCACCTTTTCTGCTCCCCACTCTGGGTGAATCGTCTCACACACACTTCACCTCTGGCCTACCCCCTATAAATAAATCTTTTAAGTTCCACTTAGATTAAGTGACATTGTAGTATTTGACTATTTGCTGTATGCCACCAACTAAGAGCAGTTCATGACTCGCTGATGATTTCACTGACCCCATGAAAAGGTCAGAACCCACTGAGTTCACAGCAAGTAACTAACTAGGGGCTTTAAGGGCCAGTCACCAGCAGTCGCCAATGTTGGCCTCACTGCTCTACTGCTACCTCGGCAATCCTGCAAAGTATCAAATAATTATCAGCAAGGGCTGGCATACACGTCCGGGGCAGTGTCCAGGGCTGACAAGACACGTGCCAGCCACCCATCAAAGGCTGGCGCTGGATCAGCTCGGCGGGCCTCCAGCATGACAGGCTGAGAGCCTCCAAGCAAATCCGGCTGCGTCTGAACTGGATTCCACAGCACCGGAAACGGCGACTCCCACTTGGGGCGCTGCGGACACACGAGTCGAGGCAGCCCTCCAGGAAGCCAAAAAAAATTAAAAAAGGGAAAAGAAAGAAAGAAAAGGAGGGATAGTGGAGAGCAGGGCCTCGGCCACCGCACACGCCGCGCCCCCGCCTCCTCGCCGTGCCGGCCGCCGCCGTCGGCCTCTGGCAGCTTCCCGGGGCCCAGGCCTCAGACCCCGCGGCCTGCCGGGCACTGCCCGCGGCGGGGACCTCAGGTGCGTACCCCGCCCCGCCGCAGCCGCCATTAAGAGCGGGGGCTTTTCTGGGCACTTTCTCCGCCCGCGGGCCTGGCGAAGGGGAGTCCCGGGGAGGTCGCCCGTGCAGTGCACGGCGGGCAACACCCCTCGTCGCACCGCAGGCCCCGAACCCCAAGGGCAAGGCCGCTGGAGTGGGGGTGGGGCGGCAAAGCCCTACGCCTGGGGGCTACGGTTGCACGCAGGGAACGCGCACCCCTCTCCCTTCTGATTGGCTGGGCGGGGCTGGCGGGGGCGGGGCTGTAGGCATTGAGCTCTCTAGGGTCCGGTGGGCGTGAGGTCACGCTCCGCCTGACTTACGTGAGGCCCTCCTCCGCGAGCGAAAGCACTTGATTGGCTACTGAGGGGGCGGGGCTGCCGTTGTTGCCAGGTAACCGCGCCCGCCTCTCCGCCCAACGCTCGGACTCCGCCTCTCAAGCAGTGGGTTACAGGAGGCTGCCTCCCTCAGCCCCCCTCTCCCCCGCGATAGGTTTTGTCTTGGCTTGGGGTGTTGGGGCCACTTCAGAGTTTCGTCTCTTGGCAGAAAACAAATACTGAAACCAGAATAAGGTCCTTGAGCCTGGCCTACAATTGGTCACAATTCCATTCTGGGGTTAAAGATTCGCAGGGCCTAGTCACCGCCTTGCCGACCCAAACTCTTTAATGATAGTTTTATTGAGTTGCGCCATAAAATTCAGCCTTCGGGTGTGATAATGGAGTTATTTTTAGTCTATTTCTGGAGCTGTAGCACTATCTCTGGTGTGATTCCACAACAACCAAGGAGCTGTAGCACTATCACATAAAAAATGTCGCATACCATTAGGAAGAATAATTATTTCCCTCTTCCCACCCCGGCCCTTGACAATCAGCTTTCTGGTTCCGACTGCTTTTCTGCACATTTTCTGTAGGTGGGATCTTGCTAAGGAATCTTTTTTGACTGGCTTCTTTCATTCCTGTTTATGTGGATATAGCACATTTTCACTTTTAAATCAAACGATGAATATTTAGATTGTTTCCTTGTTTTGACTATTGTAAATAAATAATGCTGTTGGGGTCTTTTGTGGGCATGTTTTCAATGCCTGGGTCTATACCAAGGAATGAAACTATTAGACCCCGTTTCATTTTCTTCTGGTAATTTGACATAAACATGTCTAGACAGAAACTTGGAAGTAGGCCACTTAGATAGCACTTCCTGCTGCAACTGAAAAGGCAGTTTTCCACCCTTTTTTCCCCCCCCTGGCAAGAAAGGCATTTGGGGCACACAAGACTTGGACTTCACCTGTAGTTGTTAATCTGCAGTGGCAATTTAGAGAGCCTGCTTGTTAGCTCCTGAACCTGCTGACCAAGCGCTCTGGCTTTCGCCCACACTTTGAGCCTTTACAGTCACACTCTCATTCTCAGGCTGCTGACCATGGAAGTAATGCTCACATGCTCTGTTCACTCTCTCCTCCTGTTCTGCTGACTTTGGACCACGTGCTTTGGACCCTTGCAAGGGTGTCTGACTTTTTCCTCCTTGATTACATGCTCTTCTGTCATGTCTACACTGGTCTCATTGGAGAGCACACATGTTAGGTTTATTCACCTTTTTGTCCTCCCAACCCTCCCTGCCAGCAATCAGTGTTTCCACATAGTGGGGTCTCGGTGCATGTCTGTTGAATGATGAATAGGTCACTTGGGTTTGCAGTTTTTATTTATTATAGGCCTGCGCTGAGCTGTGGAGAAGGTGATACCCCAGAAACTTAATTAAAATCAGGGGCTCATACCTGAAAATTTAACTTATTTTACACAATTTTAAAAATAAATCAGGCCTCTATTTCAAGATATCAGAGATTTGCTAAAAGAAGTGGCTTACATTTCAACTTAGGAAAATTTTAAGTGATAGAAATGGATTTAGAACAGGACAAGCAGGCTTTTTCTGTAAAGGTCCAGATAGTAGATATTTTCAGCCTTGAGGACATACATGGTTACTTGCATGCAACCCTCCCTTTGCAAGAAAGCAACTATACACTAGATTGCACATTTTCACTTTTCCATCAACTGATGAATATTTAGATGTTTCGGTGTTTTGACACACATTCCAGTAAAACTTACTTGACAAAAAATCAGTGGCAGTCTGGAAACCACCCACCCCCTGATCTAGCTGTTTGCTTTGTATCAGTAAAATAAGACATTGAAAAGGAGACAAAGTCATCAAGGGTTGCTGGAGAAAATACATGAGATTTAATAGTTTTTTCACTCTATGTCTCCAGTTTTGAAAGAGCAAAGAATCACTATATAAAATCAATGAGCTAAATAAACAATTCTGGTGTTTTAGATTTGAACAGAAAATAAGTTAATCATCATGTAGTTAATCACCTGTACCCTGTGGTACAGGATCTTGCTGCCAAGAATTTTTAATGTTGTTAGATGCAGTGATTTTTTTCTCAGGGAAATGTTCTTGGGGTGGGAAACCCCCTGTAAGGTTATAATCATGTTTCATTATTTTTGATGTGCTGTTAATGCCTGTTGTGTTCTAAACCACAAACTATAAAAATACACAAGGTTTCTGCCTCTAATTGATACTAAATAAAGGATGCAAATAGAGCAGTAATTTTGAGACCATTTTTTGTTATTAGTGGTAGCACAGTTTATACCAACTGATAATCTATTTTTAATTGCACCTATTTTATTCTGTTAAAAACCATAATTTTGGCCCTCTCTGGTGGTGCAACAGGTTAGGACACAGCACTGCAAGCTAGCGGCACGCCACTTTAGTGCAAATTTGATCCCTGGCCAGGGAGGTGACCCACAGGGTGCGGCAGACCTCTCCTGACCCATCTACTGCTCCCCTCAGCAGTGTACTTCATTTATCTGCCTGTTCTGCTCCCCACTCTGTCTCTGGTGAATCCTCTCACTGCCCCTGCACCTCTGGCCTGTACTCCAGTTCTGTATAAATGAATGAATGAATGATTCTTTAAAAAAAAAAAAAAACTATTTTGATGTCACACTCCTCTTAGGGACTACTGTGGCATCAGGAACAGAAATGATATATTGACCACTGGCACTAAAAAGATGTCAGTTAAGCTTCTGTGTTTTAGATGGAGTCTTTGTTGAAATTTTCTGTATGAAAGAAATTGTGTGAAAGAGTGGAGACAGTGGAGCAATGCCAAACATACAGTCAGCTTCAGAGAGTTTAACCATGGTTGCTCTGCAAAACTTAACTGAGAAAAGAGCTTTTTTCATACTATAGGCAATTTCTAACTTCCGTGTGCGAGAGTACCTGACTTAGGTGCAAGCATGAATGGGGACCTGGCATATGCCCAGAGGTGGTCTCAGTTTCCTGGGGCCTCTCAGCACGAGCATCTAACAGTGGGTGTGATTAAAAGTGTGATTAATACTTCATGGCACCTACACTGCTTCATCAGATGAGTAATGAAAGAAAGAATAATCTGTGTCAACACTGCAAGAGCAACTGGGGAATTCAGTGAGAAGTCACAATCAGAGGTGTGGTCACCATGATTCTCATGCTTAGACCATCAAAGTGTGACATCAGGTACTCTAGTACCTGCTATGCGATTAGCCAAGTATGTGATGATACTGTAGAGCCTGAAAATATTAACGTCATGGCTGGAAGGCATGAACTCTGAAGATGTATCCTCAGTAGTAAAGTTCTAAGACAAAAGACACCCCCAAGCGACACCAAAGAGGGACAGTTTCCTGATAGACAACTAAGCCAGCCCAGGGTGATTAACAGATTCTAGAACTGCTTTATCTGAAATAATGTGCAGTGTTCACACAATGGCATTTGCTGACAGAGAGCTAGAAGGCCCATTAAACAGAGACATCATGGACCCAGAATCACTTGCCATGTCCTATTAATTTTTTTTTTTATGTGAGACAACCACTCACACATAAGCATCTTCAAATCCATTTCATAGCCACTTGGAGGCAAGGGAGCACTGTTAATAAGCTCACCCTGAGGGCAGGTGTGAACTAGGACTGTCCTGGCCAAGGATTGGTCAGTAGGATCAGGGGACCCCTGTCCCTGCCAGGTCTCTGTCCAGGCTCTGGACAGAGCTCTTCGGTTTCTGTGTCCACTCCTCCACTGCAGTCCCAGCCTCTTGCACACCCCCATCCCCTCTAGTAACCATTATATTCTGAGTTCAAGGTTTGTTCCTACTGTATTCTGTCTGTGTTTTTTTGCTATTGCTGTTACTTATATTCCATAGATTCGTGAAACCATCTGATATCTCTCTTTTGACTTATTTCAACATAATCACCTTGAATGCCATCCTTTTCCCCCCAAATGCCACTATTTTACCTATCTTCACAGCTGTGTAGTATTCCATAGAATATATATTCCACAGTGATTTCTTTATCCTTTTGTCTTTCTTTTTTTTTTTTTGAAGGGCATTTAGATTAGTTCCACATAAACATAGATAAATCTTTTCGTATTGATGCACATAAACATAGATAAATCTTTTCGTATTGATGAGTTCGGTGAAATTTAGAGTGAGCTTTTATATAGAAGTCCTAGCAGGAAAGAAAAGGGGATTTTTCTCTTCTCATCTTTTGCATGAAAACCTACTTCTCTCTTTTTCTGCTTTTGTGAAACAGAATGTGATATCTGGTGCTGCTGTGCTGAAATCTAAGAAAATACCATTGGCTGGTAAGGCCCTTTTCCTGTCCCCTCGTCTAGCATTACTCCTGACATTTATTTTATGAGGAGGAAATGTCTAGACTTAGTGGGAATTATTCCATATGAAAGTTAGCTTTACTATAAGGGGATCTCAGGTAAATCATTTCATGTCTGTCAATTTTAGCAACTCTAGAGGAAGGTTTGAACTTTGTTCTCTGTGAGGACCCTCATATCTAGATTCCTGCCTTTCACGTTGTCATTGCTTCTCTCATGCAGGGGTCATGGCCCAAGTAGCAGTGTCTACCCTGCCTGTCAAAAACGAGGAGTCCACAGACAGCAGGATGGTGGTGACATTCCTAATATCTGCTCTGGAGTCCATGGTGAGATGGCCTTCCCGCTCTATCAGGTGTCCGGCACCTGGTGACTGCTGAAATGACTGTGCTGGGCAACACTTCACTGTCATGTTCGTACTTGATTTCGGTTTGATGTCCTGTCTGTTGGAGCATGTCCTTCATAGAGAATAATGGGTTTGTTATGTAATTAAGATTTTCCCCCTGACATTATGTATGTAACTATATACATGTAAGCTTTCCAGATCTGTCAGTTGAATGAAGACACCTCTGTTACCTTGGTAGAGGTAATTTTTGTTTAAATTCAAAGATAAATCAATAAACCACTCTGAATCGGTTTACATCCATAATGTAAATGTTGCCTTTTGTGTACATTTCATGAGAATTTTACACAACCTCCAAATACCTGATCCCCAAATACTTGTTGATTAAAAGGGGAATTAATAACATTCCAAGAGTGGAGAGGTCTAACAGATTGTTCAGAGGTTCAGAGGTGAAAACAGATCATGCAAAGGTCCTTGAGTGGGAACAAGTTTGGTATTTGCAAGGGAGTGAAGTGCAGAGTAAGGAGAACAAAGAGACAGAAGGCAAAGTTCCAGAGACACATAGTGACCGAATACATTGCATGGGGCTTTGGACTTCTGTCCTCGGTGTGATGGAAGGTTTGGAGAGAATTTCTACAGGTATATATAGTATGTAACATACAATTTATAAGCTGAATCACTTTTAGGTATATAGTTCAGTGGTGTGTAAGTATTTGGTTACTGTGCAACCTTACCACCGCCCATTTTGAGGATTTTTTGTCTTCCTAAACTTCTGCTCCCATTAAATAATTATTCCCCATTTGCTCCTGCTCATCCCCGGGCAAACTAAAGAGTTTGGTTATTTTATTTTAAAATAATTCCATTTAGGAATGCTTCTTAGATTTATAAGAAAGTTGAAAAGATTGTCCAGAGAGCGCCTCAGCCATAACCTACAGAATCGTAACTTGTACATTTGTCAAAAGGAATAGGTCAGTGTTGGTACATTTGACCAATTCCAGGCTATATTCGAATTTCATCAGTTTTTCTGCAAATGTCTTTCTTCTGTCTTGGGATCTACCTTATGCCACCACATCGCATTAGCCATCACCTACATGAGGGCCTTTGGGTTGTCAGTTCCTCAATCTGCCCAAGTTTTTCATGACCTTGACAGTTTTGAAAAGTACTATTTTATCAGACTGCCTCAATTTGAGTTTCTCTGATGTTTCCCTCCTGGTTAGTCCAGGATTATGGAGTCTTGGGAAGTCCACAAAGGTGCAATGTCCCTCTTATCATGTCACGCAGACATTTGTGGCATCATAAAATCAGAATCTGCCCTTGTATATAATTCTTCGTTTTTTTGTTTCTATTTTAGTGCAAAGAACTGGCCAAGTCCAAGGCAGAAGTGGCCTGCATTGCTGTGTATGAAACAGACGTGTTTGTTGTTGGGACTGAGAAAGGACGTGCTTTTGTCAACTCCAGGACAGATGTGCAAAAGGATTTTGCAAAATACTGTAGGTGTTAGTAATTTTTCCCTTTGTACTCCTAACTCTTAAGATACTTGTGGCTAAGACTTGTGTGTTATTTTCTTCTAAGGTCACATAAGCACACTCTTTAACAACGGGCCCTTTGATTTGGCATGTTAGTAAATAGCTACATAACAAGAAATGGTCATTGTATTTTGTAGTGTCCTCAGCAGGTCTCTGATTACAGAATACATTTGAAGACTACATAATTAATTGTCTTTCATTACTAAAGTAATCCCACATTTAAAACACTTTCATTTTACTCCTTCCCAAAGGAAAAGGAAAATAACTCTTCCACATCTGTTAGTATTACTTGAAGTAGTACTGACTATACTCCTCTCCCCTTTATTCACTATGGACTTCAAAATCTACAGCGTGCAGTATGTGTTGCAAGTGTGATGCTCACAAGTGCATCGGCGAGCAGATGCGGCCACTCATGAAGGAAACTCCTCTAGGGAGTTATAACTTTCACTTGCATTATCTCTGCTACTGCAAGTTATCTAGCAATTGGTAGTAGTCCCTGCAACCAAAAAGGAAAAAAAAAAAAGCTAGAAAGGTGTATCAGAAGGAATATGTATCTACCACGCCATATATCTGCCTGTTTATCCATACATCTGCCTCTGCTGTCTAGAGAGAGAGATATCTCCTACGGGGTGTATGTAAGAGAGTTTTAAAAACAAAATTTATAAATTTAGAGACCTAATTGTCTTTATTAAATGATTATGAATTGGGCAGCATGCCTCTGGATGTAAAGACAGTGGGAGGGGATTTATAGACAGAACAAAGATGGGGCAGGCTATTAGCCAAAGAGAAGATTATTTGAGGAAAAACCACCTTCCTGGGGGGAAGTCAGTGGGGCCTTACACAGATGACCTGGCTAGTTCTTATTAGGAAACTACAAAGTAATTGGAACAGATTATACTTTCTGGAGGAGTTAAAACTGAGATAGGTGGGTACGGGTGCCCCAGTAGAGGACTCCATTATGACTTTTTTTTTTCTGTTTCTAACAAGGAATACAGAATAATTTCCTTTGTGCCCCAACACTTGGCAAGAGATGAATGTCTTTTACTTATCTTACCGATGTGCCAACTTTTAGCTTTATTGATTTTCTCTATTTGTCTGTTTTTTTTTGTTATTTGTTTCTTCTCTCTTTTTAATTTTCTTAAATTTAACTGCTTTTCTAGCTTTGTGTGTGTGTGTGTGTGTGTGTGTGTGTGTGTGTGAAGATATATTTATTTATGCATACAAGAACTAGGGTACGGACCAGAAGTACAGGGGTGAGAGGATTCACCAGAGACAGAGTGGGGAGCAGAACAGACAGAGCAAGTGAAATACACTGCTGAGGGGAGCAGCAGGCTGGACAGGGGAGATCTGATGTGCCATGTGGGTCACCTCCCAGGCTGCAATAGCTTCAGGTAGCTTCAGAAAACTGAACTTTAACCCCTTGCATCACCAGGGAGCCCCCTTGAGCTTCTTGATTTAGTAGCTTACACCACTATTTTTAGTATAAATTTGAAGTTAGAGGTTTCCCTTTAAGTTCTGCTTTAACTGCACCCCTGAGACTTTGATATTTTGTGTTTTCATTATCATTTGGCTCAAAATATTTTCTAACATCTCTAATAATTTCTCTTTTGGATGCTTGCTTACTTAGATGCTTGTTGCTTAATATCCTGATACTGGGGATATTGCTGGTTATTGTTTTCAAATGAAATGCCATTATAGGCCAAAAGAATAATTATAATCTTTTGAATTTATCAAGTCCTAATATATGACTTAGCACATAATTTATGTTGGTGAATATTCCATATGTTCCAGAAGAGAATTTTGGATTCTGCAGTTAGTAAACCAATTAGGTCAAGTTGTTAAATAATGGTATTTAATTCATCTATATTATTTCTTTTTTGCATACATATTTTTTTTAAGATTTATTTGTTCATACAGAACTGGGGTACAAGCCAGAGGTTCAGGGGCAGCGAGAGGCTTCACCAGAGACAGAGTGGGGAGCAGAACAGGCAGATCTATGAAGTACACTGCTGAAGGGAGCAGCGGGTGGGTCAGGAGAGGTCTGCCACGCCATGTGGTCACCTCCGGGGCAGGCGGGAATCGAACTCATGCAGAAGTGGCTTTAGCTTCTCAGTGCTGTGCTTTAACCCACTGCGCCACCAGGGAGGGCCATGCATACATATTTTACTGACAGAAGTGTATTTAAATCTCCAATTATATTGCATATTTGTCTGTTTCTCCTTATGATTTCTACTTTTTGCTCTATGTATGTTCCATTCAGGAATCAGGGTGTTTTTACAAACATACACATACACATTTTATATTATCATGTCTTCCTGATGAATTGATCCTTTTTTCCTCATAAGATGTTCCTCTTTGTTTTCATTTACACGCTTGATCTTAGCGTCTGCTTCATCTTATATTAAAGTGGACACACCACATTTCTTTCTTGTGATTAATATTTGCGTGATATATCTTTTTTCATTCATTTACTTCCAGCCTTCTGTACTTTTATATTTAAACAGAGTCTTGTAAACTATATGGGTCTTTTTTTTTCTTAAAGTAAATATGAAAATATCTGACTTTTACTTGATCATTTTTTGTCTATTTCCTTTCAATGTGAGTTTAACACTGAGATATTTCTTACATTACATTTTATCTTTTCTGTTCACTTTTTAGCTCTTTGATTTTTATTGGTTGTCTTGGGATTACATAAAATGTGCCTCCCTAACATGTCACAGTGAATCTAAAATGAATATCTTAATTCTGTATCTATAATGTAAGAGTATTAAATCATTTAATTCTGTATACTTCCCTCTAGCCCTAATATGTTGTAAATACAAAAGTTACCTTATTATTGCCTTAAGCAATTACTTTCCAAATTTTTAAGCCCTTTATATTTAACCTACATGTACCATTTCTAATACTCTTTATTCCTACTAGTTGATCTTAATTCCCATCTGGAATTATTTTCTTTCAGTCTGAAGAACTTTAGCATTTCTTTAGTGTGAGTCTGATGATAGCACATTTTCTCCGTTTTTGTTTGTCAGAAAGTGTCTCTACTTTGCCTTCTTCTTTTTTTTTTAATTGTAGTATAAAAACCCTATAACATAAAATTTACCAGGTTGCTGTAGATTCATGTTGTGAAACACATCTCCAGAACTTTTTTCATTTCTGAAGTCCTATTTCTTAAACTGCTTCCAGCCCCTAATAATCACCATTCTACTTTTTGCTTCTATGAATTTGACTACTTTAGATACCTATGTATGTGGAATCACACAATATTTATATGTACAGTTGTATATACAACTTTTTGGCTGGCTTAATTCCCTTAGCATATGATTTAGGCTTATCTATGTCATAGTATACAGCAGAACATCCTTTTTTTCTAAAGCCATAGGTATCTATCCATTTATATGTATCTATCCATTCATATGTATCTATCCATTCATTCATATGTATCTATCCATTCATCTATTGATGGACATTTGGATTGCTTATACATTTTGACTTTCTTTTTTATAAAGATTTATTTATGCATACAAGAACTGGGGGTGTAGACAGAGGTTTACGGGTGAGAGGGTTCACCAGAGACAGAGCAGGGAACAAAACAGGCAGATTGACTGAAATACAATCTGCCTGAATGGAGGGAGCAGTAGGTGAGACAGGAGAGGTCTGCTGGGACATGTGGGTCAGCTCCCTGGCTGAAGATCAAACTTGTGCTGCAGTGGCTGCAGATTTCTCCATAGTACTGACTCTTAACCCCTTGCACCACCAGGGAGACCCCATTTTGGCTTTTGTGAGTAGTACTGCTGTAAACATTTGTGTGCAAATAACTCTGAAACTGTGTTTTCAGTTTGGGGGGATATATATCCAGAAGTGCGATTATTGGATGATAAAGTAATCCAATTTTTGAGGAATCTCTGTGTTGTACCTTTTTATAATCCACTAACAATGGACAAAGGTTCCACTCTCTCCATGTCACCCACTGTCAATGCTTGTTGTTTTCTACATGTTTGATAGATGCCGTCATAGTGGGTATGAGGTGTGATTTACATTTGCTATTTCTCTGACTATTGGTGTTGTTGGCCAGTTTCATTCACCTTTGGAGAAATGTTTATCCAAGTCCTTTTCCCAATTTTAAATTGAATCCTTTAATTTTTTGTTGTTGTAGGAGTTCTTTGTATATTCTGGATGTTAACCCCTTATCAAATCATGATTTACAAAAGTTTTACAATGATATTCACAGTTTTATGATTTGCTAGGCCTCCCTGGTGATGCAGGGGTTAAAGTCTCAGTGCTGGCAATGCGCCAGCCACTAAGGCAAGAGTTATGTCACTGGCCAGGGAGCTGACCCGCATGGCTCTCCTGTCTGGCCCGCTGCTGTGCTCCCCTCAGCAGTGTATGTCAGTACATCTGCCTATTCTGCTCCCCACTGTGTCTCTGGTGATCCTCTCTGCCACCCCCCTCTAGCCAACACCCCAGTTCTTGTATGCATACATAAATAAAAATAAATCTTAAAAAACAACATATGATTTGCCCACATGCAGTAGGCTGACTTTGGATAGTTGATCATGACTTTCCATACCCAAAAGTTTTTAAAGTCATTTTGCTTCCATTTGTCTATATTTGCTTTTGCTTCTGCTGTAATATCCAAGGAATCACTGCCACGTCTATTGTGATGAAGCTTCTGCCCTGTTTCTCTCCCCCCCCCCCTTTTAGGATTTTTATAATTTAAGGTCTTATGTTTAGGTCTTAAATCCATTTTGAGTTAATTTTTTATATGGTGTAATATAAGGATCCAACTTAATTTTTTGCATGTGGTTATCCAGTTTTCCCATCATCATTGGTTGAAGAAACTGCCCCTTCTTGGCTTAACAAGGGCTTGGGAGCTGTAGCTTTTCAGCTGGTCTGCAGAGCTGTGTCAGCCGCCTCCTAGTCTGGGCAGCACTAATCCAATATGCCTGTGGGGGAGGGGTGCCTCTTGCTTCCTCCTCTCCCATCTTGCTGACATCACTCTGAGGCTGTTTTTGAAGAATATTTGTACTTGATCAGAATTCTAGCTTGACAATTTTTTCTGCCTGAAGAACTTTACTTTCATTCCATTACCTTTTCTGGTGTCTTATTTTAGATACAAAATCAAGTTAGAATTTTTTTTTACCACTTCTTTTTTCCCCAGTTTTATTGAGAAATAATTGGCATACATCATTGTATACATTTAAGGCATACAAAATACAGTTTGATTTACATGTTGTGAAATGATTACCACAATAGGCTCAGCTAATGTCTATCATCTTATGTAGATACAATTAAAAGAAAAGCAAGAAGAAAGGAAGAAGGAAGAATTCTTATTTTTGTTCCTTTGAAGGTAATGTATCTCTTCCCCTAGCTCTGTTTAATACTAAGTCTTCCACACTTGGTCATAATTTGCTTATTTGTGGTCTTTTTTGTTTTTACTCTATGGAACTGAATCTGCAGGTTGATATCTTCATCAATTTTGGACATTTTCCATTATCTCTTCAAGTATATTCTGATCCATGCTCTATTTCACTTACACATATAGAAGAAAACTTTATATTGTCCTATCAGACATTAAAGCTCTGTTCTTTTTTATTCTTTTCTCTATTCGAGCTTCAGATTAAATAATTTCGACTGACCCTTCCCTTAGGTCACTGATTTTCCTTCTGCTGCACCCAGTGTACTGCTGATTCCATCCTGTGAGTTTTTATTTCCAGTGATTTTTTTGTTTCTAGAGTCAGAGTAGTCTCTTCCCTTGGTCTCTGTCTCATGCCTGCAGTAGGGGCTGCTCCCCTACTCCCTGGCACGTGTGTCATCATAAGAGCTCCCCTCACCTCTCAGGCTTAACTCCATGTGACCAGGAGTAATTCTTTCCTTAAGCCTTCCCTCGCGGCTCTGGCAGTGGCAGCTGGTTGGGGCGCTGGTCCTGAATGCATTCAGTGGTGATGGTCTTCTGGACAATGTCTGTTACTGCTATACTGCATAGCAAATAACATTTTTTTTTTTTTTTACAAAATGCTTTCCTTCCTATTACTAATATTTCCTATGAGAATAATTATTTCTAGTTCTTTGTCAATAAATACATTTCAGGGCTAATCATAATCTTACCTTCCTGGGTGTCTTGTCCTTTGTTTATTAAAGTTCTTGTCTTAAGTTTGTTTCTCCTTTCTGTGCCAGAAACTCGCCCATTAAGTAAGTATATCCATGCCCAGCACTGACCTTGTGCCATCATCTGTTTGCAGGTGTTTCCGAAGATCTGCCTGAGGGGGCATCGCCTTGCCCTGCAAATGGGATGCATATCCTTGCAGAAGAAACAGAAATACTCAGGAAAGCCGTCGGGGACTATTTCTGCTTATGCTATGGTAAAGCTCACTTGAAACATTCAGTCCCTGACGAGTACACTACCAAGTAGGTCAAAATGATCACTTTATTGACATAACTACTTAGAATGTCTCTAACATTTTAAAACCCACGTACTCATCCAGCGTGGGACTCTAGCCCTTAGGCTGGCCAGCCAGTGCAGAGAGAGGGACGCGGCCCAGAGGATGCTGTTGGGCCAGTCGAGGTGCAGGTTAAGCGTGCGCTCTCAGCATCTCCTGGCAGCAGCCAGAGAAACCTTGGGACGCTCTGTGCAGACGGGAGACACCAAACTGCAACTTGAAGAGAATGGGGAAACAAAGGTCAATTTCTTTTCTTTATGTGAAGATTTAAATGAAAACACTTTTTTTTTTCTTTTGCCTTTGGTTGGGAATTCTATTTTATTTTTAGATTATATACTTATGCATACAGAACTCAGGTAAAGGCCAGAGGTGCAGGGGTTGAGAGGATTCACCAGAGACAGAGTGGGGAGCAGAACAGGCAGACTGAGGAAGTACACTGCTGAGGGGAGCAGCGGGCAGGTCATTAGAAGTCCATGACACCATGTGGGTCACCTCCCTGGCTGGGGATCGAACTTGTGCTCTAGCAGCTGTGGCCAGCTTCATAGTGCTACGCTGTAAACCACTGTGCCAGGAGGGAGGGCCCTGGTTGGGAATTTATTCACCTGTGATATAGAGGGACAGGATGCTGTGTGCTTTTAGTATCTCCAAGCCAGATGTCACCAAGCTGTGATATGAAACTGGTTGGCAGGATTTTATACTCACTAAAAAATGAGTAAGACCAAGTCTTTAAAAACCAAAATGAAGCTAAATAGCTCAAATACCTTATAGTATCCCACTGTTACCACACGAATCTAGCAGTAAGGACTCTCCAGAGCTCAGTTCTTGTAAAAATAAAACCTTTGCACATTCACCCCACAAAGAGTGGAGATTTCTTAATAAACTACTCACACTTGTAATTGGCCATATTACCTGAGCTTGATTTTGTTGAATAACCCAAGGGGACCCTCGGCTTGTCCTCTGCTGATGTGGATGTGTGGTTTAGGTTAGAAGACCCCCTCGTCCCGCAGGCTGCACTGATAACCCTTCACTTTTTCCTTTCCCAAACTCTAAACTGGTGTCTCTGGTTAACCTGACCATGGTATTGCATCTTTCTAGAATCCCATCCACTTTCTATTCTAAATTTTGAATAGTCAGCTAGTTAGCCATCTAGTTAACCAGGTTTTTGGCTACTAACTGGTTATTGGGTCAGTTAACTAGTCACCCAGATAATTAGTCGGTCGGCCTGTTAACTAGTTGGTTCGTCTCTTGACTAGTAGGTTTACTAGTTAGCTGCCTGGTTAACTAGTTACTCTGCTAGCTAGTCAGCCAGCTAGTCAGTCAGCTACCCTGGAAATGACTTCTGTTATTGTCAACACACTTCATCAGAGAAACCCGCCAGAGCCTGTGGGGCACCAAGCTGCCAGGGCATGTGTCCTGATGCAAATGAAACATCTTACCCCTCTTCCAGGTAAAGCCTTAGGCACAGCAGCCGTGGTGCCTGTTCCGTACGAGAAGATGCTGAGAGACCAGGCGGCTGTGGTGGTACAGGGGCTTCCAAAAGGAGTTGCCTTTCAGCACCCTGCGAACTATGACCTTGCAACCCTGAGATGGATTTTAGAGAACAAAGCAGGGATTTCATTCATTATTAACAGGTGACAGGCTCTATCTCATCATAACAGCAAGTTAATTTGGAAATAAACTGATGGCTTCTTTTCAGTGAGTTTGTTTATTATGTCCTGTTACATTTTAAAGTGGCTATTCAGATTTTTGCTCTGTCATTCTTATGTGTTCACAATGGGTAATAGTATCGGTTTTCTTGCAGACCTTTCCTAGGTCCAGCGAGTCCACTAGGTAAGTGACAGCATCTCATACTTGGTGACTGACTTGGCTGCTAAGCCAGTTCTGCTTTTCCTATTTCAAATGCCAGTTTGGCACATCCTCAAGTTTATTTATTCTCGGCCCTCTCCGCGCTGAGGTGGCGGCCTCTGACGTTCTGAAGTATAAAGGACACGGCTCAGGGAAGGGCAGACCCGGCTGAGGTACAGCCCTCCCCCCAGCTCACCTGCTGGTGAGCCTCAGTGTCCCCACCTTCACGGAGGGCAGTAGCAGCCCTGCCTTACCCTCTTGTATAAGAGCTGGAGGATTTGGGGGGCACTTCATGTTGGACCGCCAGGCTTTGTTAGGTTTGGAAGTGGATCTGAGCGGCCATTTCGTGCTTCTGAGACACGTGGTCCAGGAGGAACAGGCCCCTTCAGTAGAGGGTGAGCTGTGTGCCCGCGGGACCTGGAGGAAAGCCCCTTGAGTCCCTGGCAGATTAGACACGTGTGACAGTGCACTTTCGGAGGAACTGGCTCTCAACATAAATAGGGCCTGCACTAGGGGATCTCCCAGAAAGTCCCCACCAGGTAGTCTGGTAGTCTGACGCTTTGTGGAAAGGAGTTTGAACCCATCTTTGAGAACCCAGGGCCCCCCCACAATCTCCTTATGATAATGAGCATAAAGGGAAAATAAAAGGAACGTCAACAGAGCGATTAGAGACCACCTGTGCCCACTTTTCTTTCCGGATTTATTTTCATTTATTTATGCATATAAGAACTGGGTGTAGGCCAGAGGTAGGGAGAGTGAGAGGATTCACAGAGACAGCTTGGGGAGGAGAACAGGCAGATCTACTGAAATAAACTGGTGAGGGGGCCGGGGGTGAGAAAGAAGAGGTCTGCTGTGCCATGTAGTCACCTCCCTGGCCGGGGATCAAACTGGTGAGGCAATGTTGGAGGTAGCTTCAGAGCACTGGGACTTTAACCCCTGCCTCACCAGGGAGGCCTCCCGTGCCCACTTCTTATTATCTCAAATTCTTACTCTGGAACATAGTCGAGCCACAGCCATTCATGAAAGACCAAGTCCAAAGAGAATGTCATGCTGAGGCTGCAGAGGTAGAGAAACAAGATGGCGTGGGCAGATGTGTGGGGCCAGGTTGCACAGGGCCCAGGGCTCACTCCCCGGATGCAGGGCACCCATGTTCTGAGTATGGAATGCCCCACAGCAAAGATTATTTCTGGAGCAACTGTGAGTTCCTGGAGTCTCACACTGAAGTATGGGGGAGCAGGTAGAGGGGGGTGAGTGGGGGTGATCTGGTAATGGTCATGCTGGGTGTCTTTACTTTCTTTACAGAATAATAATGATTCCTGCTGACACTGAGTGCTCATACTGTGCCAGACATTGTTCCAGGGAGTAGATAGTGCATAGATTAGTGAACCTCACCCAATTACTATTTTCGATGAGGAAACTGAAGCATAGGGAGGTTTAATAACTTGTTTGAGGTGGCTCCAGCCCCAGGCTGCCTGCACGCAAGGCCCAGAACCCTGGGCCTGACACGGGTCCATGTCCCCCTGCCACCCTGTGAGTTCTGTTCTCGTCACATCTGTTTCACTTTATCTTTCTCACTGCTGTCATATTTCAAGGCATGGAAAGACACTCACGTGTGTCTGCTTACCCCTGCACAGGTGGACCCGGCGTGGTGACAGGTGCTGAGGGCTCAGTAACATCACCCAGTGAGAGGTAAGGGATAATAAGAAAATCTGAGCTGAACTCCAAAGTGTTGAGATTCTAGACTGCGAAAAGGCTTCTGTGTAGCATTTGACATGTATTGCGAAGGGTTACTTTACTGCCCTTCTTTATTTTGTTATATATTCTTATTTAAAAATGTGTTTGGGACTATAAAACTATATTCCACTGACACCCTTAGTTCTGTAACAAATTATTACAAAAGTCTATGTTAAAACTGAGGCCCTATTGCATCAGTTTGAGGGCAGGGGGTTTGAAGCCGGTTGTCCACGTGCCCGTGGTAGTGTGTCACCTTGCTGGCCTTGACCAGGGTTCCCTTCTCCTTTCAGTTGTGGCCCCATCAGTGTGAAAACTGAACCCATGGAAGATTCTGGTATGTATACTGATACTTGTAGAATCAATTACTTAGCTGGTTATCCTTTTTTTTTTTTTAAACTAAAATAAGGGAGGAGGGGTGGAAGGGAGAGGAGACTCTTAGTAAGCCAGGAAGGGAAGGAAACTTCTGAAACTTGAAAAGATCTATAAAAACTCCACAGTGAGTTCTCCCTGGTGGCGCAAGGGGTTAAGTCTCAGCACTCTGAAGCAATCCACAGCCACTGTGTAACATGAGTTCGATCCCCGCCTGGGGAGCTGACACACCTGGCACGGCAGACCTCTCCCCACCTGCCCGCTGCTCCCCTCAGCCGTGTATTTCAGTAGCTCCTCCTGTTCTGCTCCCCACTCTCTCTCTGGTGGATCCTCTCCTCCTGCACCTGTGGCCTGTACCCCAGTTCTTGTATGCTTAAATAAATAAATCTTTTTTAAAAGAAATAAATCTTTTAAGAAATATGTAAAAACTCCACAGTCAATATCATACTCAATGGTGAAAAACTGGAAGGCTCCTTAGGTCAGGAGGAAGGCAAGGGTGCTTCACTGCCACTCCTTTGCGACCCTGTGCCGAGTGTCCTAGCTAATGCAATAAGACAAAGACATAAACGATACACTGGTTGGAAATGACAAAATAAAACTTTGCACATGACAAGATTTTCTATATCAAAAAATGTAAAAGGAGGCCTCCCTGGTGGCACAAGGGGTTAAGTCAAAGCACTATGAAGCTGTCAGCAGCCACTGCAGCAGGAGCCACTGCAGCAGGAGTTTAATCCCCAGCCAGGAAGGTGACCCACATGGCACAACAGACCTCTCCTGTCCTGCCTGCTGCTCCCCTCAGCAGTGTATTTCAGTGGATCTTCCTGTTCTGCTCCCCGCTCTGTCTCTGGTGACCCCTCTCATTCCACGCACCCCTTTGGCCTACACCACAGTTCCTTATGGATTTAATAAGTAAATCCTTAAATAAATGATCAATAAGAACAAAAAAATAAAGAGATACTTTAACTGAGGTCTTACTTGCAGAATAAACATGTTTTATGCAAGTATTAGAAGAGAGCTTTCTAACTCATTAATATCAGATACTATGATGTTGCTAAGTAGCTGTATTTGTGGGTAAAATATGATTTTAATTATATGTAAATTAGAACCTGACTGCAAAATGGGTAAAAGATCTTGAAGACACATGTGGAATGAGGACCTGATTTACAAATAGAGCTGTGTTTTCAATTTTGGACATATTTTACTGCCTTCCTGCACTTCTGGTCATTTCTAAATGTTCTACAATAGACACAGCACAGGACAGTGTATATTAAGGGAAAATCCCTCTTTAACAGATAAGAATAGTTGGCCCCTGACTCTTCCCACTCTTCCAAAAATCAAAAATGGCATTTATTTAAGCAAAAATGTTAAAAGGTTAAAATAGGAAAAGGGATAGAAAATGCTTCTATCAAGGGATAGAAAAATGCTGAAAGTGGAAAGGTTAGAAAACCAACAATAAATGAGTATATAACATCAATATGCAGCGCTTGGAGGATGAAAAGAAACCCAGAATGCCTGCAAGTGGGTGAAGCCAGCACCAACTGATGCTCAGAAGAGCAACTTAGAAACGTGAAACCACCCATTCAGAAGTCAAAATCTGAGATAATCCCAAAGAAAAGCAATATTCAACACGAAGAAGAAAAGGTATAAAATAAAGGAAAATAGAGACTTTAGCCAAGGCAGACGCCAAGTTGGTTAAGGCTGACGGGTGCCTTTGTGCGGAGCTGCCTCCTGGGTCCTGGGGGCCCCTCCTTGTACACACCCAAGGGTCCTCCCACCACAACCCACCACATCCGTGGGTGCTCATGTCACCCCCATCCACGTGTGAACACATGCATGGCAGCACCACCTTAAGTCCGAGTCTGAGAGAATGGCGCTAGTTCGCTGTAGCGGCTCTCAGTAAACCCGACACAGTCAATGACAAGACACGAGCTAAGTGTTTGAGCCACACAGAATTCAGCTGTGGCGACTTCCTCCCGCACGTGACCAGCCTCACATGTTTCCGCTTAGCTTTGGATGCTTTTCAAAGCTCAGAAATGTCCGGCCTGTGCCTCAGATGGTTACCAGAGAATTTAAAGAACCCCCCCACCCCAGCTGAAGTCAGTCTCCTCTCAGATGCTGGGGGGCTTAGCGTCCCCCAGGGGCCTTCGGGGGCCCACAACCCCTGTCTCCCTCCTCCCCAGCTGTTGGGCCAGATGAGTTCTCCCACCTTAAGACTCGTGAAGCGCCAGCAGGGCACAGAGCAGGTTCTATGATCCGGGCAGACTGGAGAAGGAGTCCGGGAGCCCTGGGTGTCTTTTTCAGGTTTTTAGTGACGTTTCTACACACCTGTAGCCAGGCAGCACGTGCAGGCCAGGCCGGGGGCGGAGCCAGGAGGCTGGGAGCCCCTTCACCCTTTCTGGGCTCTCTGGCCTTCTCCCTAGTCTCCAGGGGCCTCCGCGACGCCGGACCCCTCTGCCTCCTCCGCTGGGCCGCTCTGCACGCTGCTGCTGCCTGTACAGGCTCGGCCTCGCGCCCAGGTGCGCCCATTACGCATGCCCACACGTACCCGGAGCCTCCGTCAGGCGCGCGTGGAGGCCCAGGTGTGGATCATGCATGCTGAAGGCCGGAGGCCGGAAAATCCTGGTCACTTCATTCACCCTACACTAGGCCTCTTTTGTTGAGACTTCTCTCTGGAGATGTGGTTTCTTTGAACAAAAATAAGCTCCCCGTTAGTGGGCCTTTCTGCTGTGGGTTTCACGGTGCGCTAGGAGCGCTTCACAGCCGCCCACAGACAGAGCAGGTGCCGCGGCGGTTCTCGGCTCTCGCTCTGCCCCTCCCCACCGCCTGCCTGTCTCGCTGCCCCTTCTTCCTCACTGGGAGGAGAGGCTGAAGTCTGTGTCCAAACATGCTACATTTCTGCATTGTCGAATCCAGCTTCCATTGCCTGGATTAAAAATAATTTTTCCTTGATAGTTCAGCTGTCACATGTTTATCAAATGCTTCCGTTAGAGTCAACTTGGAACTTGTACATTAATTAAAACGTCATTATATCGGGCTTCCCTGGTGGTGCAAGGGGTTGAATGCAGCATTGTGAAGCTAACCACAGCCCCTGCAGCATAAGTTCAATGCTGGGCCAGGGAGCTGACCCACATGGCACAGCAGACTTCTCCTGTCCCACCCGCTGCCCACCTTAGCAGTGTACTTCAGTCAGTCTGCCGTTCTGCTCCCCACTCTGTCAGCCCCCACACCTCTGAGCTGTACCTCAGTTTCTTATATGCATAAATAAATAAATCTTAAAAACAACAACCAAAAAAACTTAAGACAAATTAAGGACATAAAATATTTTCAGAAGACCCCTCAGAACTTATAAATCAATGTCAACAGTGAGTCCTAGACTTCTGATGTTATTAACAACCGGGGTTAGATTATATAGGATATACATACATTATATATATGTATGTGTGTGTGTATATATATATATATATATATCTCATGCATAATGTGTGTATATATAGACACAAACACACATATATATACACACACATATATATGTTTTTGAATCATCATAATTTTTTAATCACCCCAAAACCTAGTGACTGGATACACTGCTGTAGTCTTTCTCAAAGTCTGTGTTGGCGGCCATGCTGGCCAGGGCCCGATGGTCTGAGATGGCCGTCCTGGGCCTGAGGCCTCAGCTGAGGGCCTCCGTCTGGGGGAGGTAGGCCCTGCGGGTGCACCGGCACCTCCACCAACACCAACACTGGTGCCCAGGCCTGTATCCCATAAGCTAAGCCAAGTCATGGAGAGGGAGCCGTAACTTCTAGAAGACTAGCTGGAAAGTGTCCCTGCAGACAGGCGCTCATACCGGGATGCGGGAAATGTGCTTCTAGAAGACTAGCTGGAAAGTGTCCCTGCAGACAGGCGCTCGTACCGGGATGCGGGAAATGTGCAGCTAGGTCAATCTACCACAGTTTTTCCTGATAAAGGCTTTTGGCTCTACTCATGCAGTTTCCTGGGTTTTGAAGTCCATAATATTGGAATGGGTCAGTTAAGATTATACAGGTCAATCCAGGACCCATTGTGGCAGAATATTTACAGTATTTCTCAAAAATGCACATGTATAGTCTGCCATCTTGAAAAGGAAAAATTCCCCCAACTGGAAACTAGACTTTCTATTTCCTTTCTTTTTCTCTCTTCTTTCCTCCTTCCCCTCCTCTTCCTCTCCTTCCTTCTTCCTTTTATATTATTTTAATTTATATTACTTGATTATAAGATTGCTATGTTAATCAAAATGGAGACTAGACATGATATTAGCTGTTGCATTTCTCTGTAGGGTTTGACCTAACACGTTTTCATAATTTCTTTGCGTTCAAAGGCATGTCACTGAAAGGAGCAGCTGTGTCAGTCAAGGAAGAATCAGAAGACCCTAATTACTATACATATAATATACAAGGTAATACCATTTTAGAATCATTTTCCTGTCCAAAAATTACTTGCCATGGAAAATTTTCAGTGCTACCCATCTACAAAGCAGGGAAAGACTGAGAAAGAACCATGTACATCTCCTTGGAGTCTCACATACCACCACACAGCATAACCTGTGCCATCATAAAACAGACCCTGTTTGGCCCAGCTCCTATAAAGGATTTTACTTGAGTCTGTCTGTTATACCCTGTCCTCCCTGTGCTACTGAAACAACATGAAATGTTAAAGATGGAGATGAGAGTTAAAATTCTGTTGCCCATTCTCAGTGGTAGTTTCTTTATTGACATTCAGTGGACAGTCTCAAAATGAGGACCCTTCTATAGGGGGAAAGCAGGTGGGGAAGAGGGTCTCTATTCTTTAAAAAATGACAAAGCTGTAGAAAACAAACTGGAACTGTTTTATCTTTTTTTTTTATTACAAAGAACTAATGTTTAAAAAAGATTTATTTATAACCTTTGAAAAAAAAGATTTATGTATTATGCTTACAAGAACTGGGGTGCGGGCCAGAGGTGCAGGAGGTGAGAAGATTCACCAGAGACAGCTGGGGAGCAGAACAGGCAGATCTACTGAATTACACTACTGAGGGGAGCAGCTGGAGAGACAGGAGAGGTCTGCTGCGCCATGTGGGTCAGCTCCCTGGCCAGAACTGAACTCGTGCTACAGTGGTTGTGGATGGTCTCATAGTGCTGCACTTTAACCCCTTGCACCACCAGGGAGGGCCTGGAACTGTTCTAGATTCAAGGAGGCTCAGGAGATATGAACACTGGAATAAATACCTGACTCCAAGCTGGATTTGCTACTAACAGAAAAGCTACAGAAGAAAAGCTTGGGCAACCGGCAGGAGTGAGGTGCAACTGGCAACAGGCATGTTGTCTTGGTGTGACAGCATATGATTTTTTTTTTAAAGATTCATTTATTTATTCATACAGAACTGGGGTACAGGCCAGAGGCTCAGGGGCGGTGAGAGGCTTCACCAGAGACAGAGTGGGGAGCAGAACAGGCAGATCGACGAAGTACACTGCTGAGGGGAGCAGCGGGCGGGCCAGGAGAGGTCTGCCTCGCCATGTGGTCACCTCCGGGGCAGGCAGGAATCGAACTCATGCGGAAGTGGCTTCAGATTCTCAGTGCTGCGCTTTAACCCGCTGCGCCACCAGGGAGGGCCGACAGCATATGATTTTTATAACTATATTGTGGTCACATTAGAGAACATCCCTAATCTTAGCAGTCACTGGATGTATTACAGATAAAGGACATGGTGTCTGTAACTATTCCAGAAGATAAGGAATGTCTCTGTAGATAGAGACATCCCTAGATGGAAAGACATTTATTTCTATCTATATATCCACACAAATGTTTAGAGGGAGAGGCAGAGAGACTACAGTTGATAAAGCAAACAGGTAAAATGTTAAAGCTATGTTATCTGAGTAGAGAGTATATGGATCTTCTTTGTCCTGTTTATTTTTGGAGCATTTCTGTAAGTTTAAAATTATTTCCAAGGAAAAAATGTTCGGAGACATTTTCTGAGACCCTTGAAAATGAAGAATAACTAGATATTACATGATAATAAAGAATAATGGTCCACTGGGGTAATGCTGATACTTTGTAATGCTGAAGGATAGGGGTGCTGTGTCTCATTGTCCATGCAGAATTTGCACATTGGGTTCCAGAAGGTCTGAAGTTTGCATGAAGCAGCGGGGAGCTGGTGGCTAGGCCTGTGCCGTGGCTCATCACACCAGCAACCTGCTCTGCGTGTGTTTGAGGTTTTTCTAAAGTGCAGGCAAAATAAAGAGAAATTGTAAAGAAAGGATAATTTGTTTGGATTTTATTTCAAGGAATACAAGTAGTCCAGGTACATCCCTGTATGGGTCTTGAGCTGTTTACATTGTTCTATTTTTAATGATTTTTTTAATCTGTATTCCTGTCTTTTCACTGTGTTGTTTGTTCCCCTTCAGGAAGCCATTGTTCTTCGTCAAGCCATGAAGCAATAGAAATGGAATCACCAATGGAAGGTTAGAAACATGAAGCACTTTATCTCTTTTTTTTTAACTTTAGTTTTTTTAGGGAACACGATCATTCAGACGCAGGTCTGGCAATCAAGAGGTGACTTCCTAGCTCTCCCTTTTAATGTCAGCAACTCTTACTTTCTGATCTGCTCTCTGTTTCTACTTAAACACCTGAATATAAAGCTCTACCCAGTGGGGTTCGCTGCTTTCCTTCATATCAAAATTCTTTTGAACAGAGGTTGAATAGAATTGGGGTGTTTTTCTTTGTCTTATTTTGTTTTAAATATACTTTTTAGAAATTCTTGAAGTGGCGATCAAATGTGGTGATACTTCCCTCTATTAATATGTAACTTTTGAGTGTCATGTGTAAGAGCAAAATTCCTGTTTCGGTTTATATGTCCAAGGCAGGAGAAGGAACATTTCCTTTCCAGACAGCCAGGCAGGGAGCGTCTTTTGTCAGTTTGCAGGCAGGATGACCTCCCTACTAGGAAATAAAATTACTATTAGTATTAATATTTTTGTCTACTAAAAAAAACCAAGTAATTGTTGGGGTTTTTTCTCTACATCGTGGGACTTCTCCCAGGAATGGAAGTGTGGACATCTTCATTAGCTACTCTGACTTGGGGGGCTTGGAGTTCTTTGTGGAGGGTCATTCCAACACCCATCTGAACTATCTGTCCAATTCCCTGAAACCTAAAAGAACTTTGGTAGACTTTATCTAGAGAACGAACAACAGTACTTCAGCAGAGTCCAGTCAGGATTCTGCATTCACTGAGGCAGTCATTTTAAACTTAATTGCTTTAGACAAGGGAGGCCAGTTCACTGTCATTATTTTACATGTTTACTTTCCTAAATTGTTTATTTCTTATTGTGGAAAATACCACATAAAATTTTCCATCTTAACCAGTATTGAGTGATTCAGTAATGTTTAGTGCAATCACACTGTGAAACAGATCTCCAGAACTCTCTCACCTTACAAACTTGTCCCCACTGAACAACAAGGCTCCACACAGCCCCTGGCAGCAGCCCTTATCCTAGTCCTCTGTGTCTGTGGAGTGAGCCCTTTAGACGCTATTGTGAGTGGGAGCACAGTTGTCATCTCTCTGTCACTGACCATATCCTCAAGGTTCAGCCATGCCGGAGTGTATGACAGAATTCTTCCATCCTTTGTTTATTTCCTGTTTCTTTACTTCACTCTCTGACCTTTAGATGTGGGGGAAAACAGACATTTTGAATTCAGCCTAAATCTCTTCCTCCCTATTACCATTTTACTTTTGTTAAAGCCTGTCAAGATATTGTGCAATTATTTTTTAATGGGTAAATAGTATTATGAATACTATTAGCTCAAATAAAAGGGTATTCTCTGTCCATTAATGTGGGTAACTGCATTATTTGTTAATATCTGAAAGTTTCTTCTCTCCCCTTATCTTTTATAAGATGGCCCTTTGAAAGGTTATCCTTTGTTATCTATTATTATCTCTTTTAAAGTTAAATTTACCTTTATATTTATTAAGTATGAAGTCTATTTTAAATGTCAGGATAAACTACTTTTTTGCTTTAGAAGCAGTAAAATGTTGGAACATGAGGATACATAATAATGAATGTCATTTTAGAAATTTTTTTTTCAAGATTCTACTCAGCTTGTCTCTTCAGGAAGGAGTGAGGACCCTGAATCTGAGGTGAAAATTGAAGGTTAGTTGCCAAAGCCTTGTCATACGCCCATGACTAAGTATAGTTTTCATCTTTCTTAAGGGATATTTTTGGGGAGAAATCTGAAATGGAAACCTGTGTTCTGTTCGTGTGGTTACAGCTGGCCATGTTCCCAGCCAGTCCCCAGTGCATCCGGTTTTTAAACAGCAGATCTAAGCCATTCACTTTGGCACTGGCCCAGGGGACCCAACTGGGTGGGAGAGGAAGAAGGACACAGGCAGGGTGGGGGGTGAACAGGGGCAGCAAGGGAAGGCAGACCAGTCCACTCAGAAACACACTCCCTCTAGGGCCATGCTTGATAAACAGAAGCCAAAAGAACAGCTGTCCCCCCCACCCCCCACCCACCCTTTAGCGAGCTCAGCAGGAATGCCACCATTGGAGGAAGTAGAGTTCCAAGCATGGTTTAGTTAGGACTTATTTTTTAAGATCCACTGTATTTTCACTGAACTATTTAACTAAATGACCTGTAATCTTTTTGTTTGTTTGTTTAAAAATCACATCCTTTACAGTTCTTTACAATTAAAAGATTTTTGCTTTTTCAGGGACATAAGTAAAACCATTTATCTTGGAATGTATGGGTTTTCAATCCACTTAGTTAAAGAATGTGCCTATTTCTTTCATGTGATCTATTCAGTACTCTACTAAAGAATATTTTTATCTCTTTATGCTGGACTAGGCGCTCCTCCATGGTCCAGCTATAAAGCTTCAGTGTTATTGGGGATATAATAATATCTTAGTATTTCACCTCACTCACCTAAACAGACATGACTTTGAATTAGTAAAATCTGAATTATAAAGTAGTATTAAATAATTTCAGTTTTCTTTTCCCCATCTGAAACATGATTTAATACGACAACAGTATTTGGATAATAGAGTATAAGCTATAAAATAAACATCCCCTTGAAGTTGTTTACTTTTTTTCAGCTCGAGAAATCCTTTTTGTTTGGAGATACCACTTCACATGAAACATCATGGGTCTGACCTATTTTTCTATGAGTTGGGGAACTTTGAGATTTAATGAATGTTCAGACTGATACAATTCTTCCATTGTATCTCATTCATTTGAGTTGTAAAAGTGGTTTCATCAAGTTGATTATTTTAAGGGGAGGAGATACCTCTGTCGTCATTATTTATAATGATTTCTAATAGAAAAGTGGGTGCAATTAAAGTGTCCTGCAATCAGAAAACAGGTGGTGGTAATGTGTTTGGAAAGATGGCTGATGGCACACCTAGTGAAAAACAAAACAGATTCCAGACAAGTTATAAGTACAAAGGGAGGAGGGACAATAAGAAATCACAATTCATGGTAGAAGATCAGTTTTCTTTAGAAAAAAATATTCTATAGAAAGAAAAGGAAGTAGAAGAAAATAGGAAAACAAAACTCTAACAATGGTATTGGGGTTATGCATGACTTCAGTTTTCTCCTTTTATTGCTTGCTTTTCCCTGGTTCTCCACAGTCAGCATATATTACTGGAGTGTGACGAGGAAGCATTCAGGTGTCCACTGGGCCTGTGTAAACGGGCAGCGTTTTGGTGGAGCCAGACCTGATGGCTTTATCAGGCGTGATGTGGCGATACCATCAGTGTAACTAAGGGAGACGCCCCTGACCCACAGCCAAAGGCGTGAATTCGGGGCAGATTTTCCAGTAGTGAGCAGCTATTTGTACTTGAAGTCAGTGGGGCCTGAGTAGCTTTGTGGCGTGATTATTTACACGGGAGTTTCAAAGCCATAAAGCCTAGTGTGGCATCAGACACCACCATTCTGAACCGCGCAGTGAGATTTTTGTTTTCCTAAAATTTCCATGAAAGGAAACCCTTAAAGTGCTTAAAACTTTTTTGAGGTGAAATTTACATAGCATAAAATTAACCATTTCAGAGAGAACAGTTCCAGTGGCTTCAACACATTTACAAAGTTGCACAACCAGCGTCTCTCTAGTTCTAAGACATTGCCATCACCCCAAAAGAATACCCCCTACCCAGTAAGTAGTTACTTCCCAAGCCTTCACCCACAGCCCCTGACAACTACCAGGCTACTTGGGCACGATGGCTTATACTGTTATACTGCAGCTGAATGTTCCTAAATTTCTGAAAATTCAGCCCGTGCTTCTGATCAAAGTGGCACTTTCACCTTTTTAAGGAGAAACTCATTTTCTACAAGTTGTAAATTTTCACCTCTGTTTTAAGGAAACTCCAATTCATCCAACCTCACAAATTCTGCAGCAGGTGTTGAAGATCTTAACATTGTTCAAGTGACAATTCCAGGTATGAAGTTTTATCTGGCCTTACCACAATTTATGTTATATTTCATTTTACCGGTGAATTTTTTTGGACATGTTATTTTTGCTTAGTTCACCTTCTCTCTGAGGAATGACAATCGAGGGATATATAATAAGCTGCAGATTGCCACACAGCCAGTATCTTCCCCAGAGCAGACACTATTATTCAGAGATGCTGCTAGCTGCGACTGGCATGAACTGGAAAATCCACACCAGGGCAGGCAACTCCCAGCACCAGCCACCAATGAATTAGAACTGGCCACAGAGGTGAAATGGGCTTGTACCTTAAGCCTTTCTTTTGGATATATAAAATGTATCTGCAGAGACACAAAGAATCTAGTAATAGTTCTCCAAGGAAAGAAGCAAGGTTGAGTCAGGAATGGGAGAGATTTCACTACATACTGTTGTATAGCTCATGGATTTGGAACCATGTAATTAGAACAGAATTTTTAAATATTGAAAAATCTCCCTTCCAATCTCATTTCATTATATTTCTTATACATATTAGATTACAGTGAAAGTGGGCATCCCTGTCTTGTGTGATATTGAAAATTTTCACTAACATATAATGCTTACATACAACAAGTATTTAGAAATTTAGAGTTACTTAGAAATTATTTAGAAATTTCTCTGGTCTCTGTAATGATTCTCATTTATAAAACATTCCAAAATATTTAATTGTTGCTAAAACTTAAGGATAAGCCAGGTAAAGTGCTTTCTCAGAATTTACAGGCATTTCCTCAATGACTTTCCTGGGGGCAAATACATTAATAATCCTAGTTTGCCTGTTTATATAATTGTTTTTAGATAATGAGAAGGAAAGATTATCAAGCATTGAGAAGATAAAACAACTAAGAGAACAAGTCAATGACCTCTTTAGCCGAAAATTTGGTAAGTTTTAATATCATTATATATCCAAAATCATGTATTTGAAATACTTCTTTTTAATCAAATACTTTATCTAAGAAAGTGGTCTCTCTGTAAAGAAGCTATGATCAAAATTAATGTGTATATTCACTGAAGAACTTTTATATGGAAACACTAAAGTTATCAGCTTTAGGAGTAATCACCTTTAGCAAATCATTATTTTGTAAAATTAAAATTAATACATTGTTATAGGTCAGTTGTATCTCAATTTAAGAATAAAAAATAGTAGCCAGTTCTAACTTACTGAGGTCCCCCATGGCTGAGCATCGCTATTAATGCTCAGCATGGAGTTAATCATTTAATTCTCACAAAAACTTTTTTCAGGTAGCTGTTCCAATCATCCTACTTACTGGTGAGAGCCTGAGTCAGATGCACCTGCCATGGCCAATTTCAAACCCTTGAAATTATTCACATATCCAAGTACCACTGGCAAATAAAGTCGAAGTGGCTGCTCGCTGCTCTAGTCACTGTGGAGATGCTTCGAAACCCTGACATTACAAATTAGTATGGTTTAGGGGAAGTAAGGGACAAACTCAACTAATTTTTTGTTGTTTGCCTCATCACAGGTGAAGCAATTGGAGTGGATTTCCCAGTGAAAGTTCCCTACAGGAAAATCACATTCAACCCTGGCTGTGTGGTCATTGATGGCATGCCCCCAGGGGTGGTGTTCAAAGCTCCTGGCTACCTGGAGATCAGCTCCATGAGGAGGATCTTGGATGCTGCAGAGTTTATCAAATTCACAGTCATTAGGTCAGTGGGAGCTCCCCTCAGGGTCAGGAGGTGGGGTCTGCAGCTGTCACTTACCCAAGACAAGTGTGGGAGCAGAGGGATTCATGCCAGGAGGTGCAGGGGCCTGCAGTTCTCTCATGCTGACTGCCACCTCTCATGTTTCCTTGATCCCATTCTGCGTCTGCGCTTTGGGCCTGTCCTGTTTCGAGACGATGACCTGAGGCACTCTGCCTCCTGCCGAACCTAGCACAGAGGTGACAGGAAAGTTTGTCAAATAGAACAAAATGCAGAGAGGGAAATTGTGCTCCATGCATTTACCAATGTCTCTTTCTCTCCAGACCACTTCCAGGCCTTGAGCTGAGTAATGGTGAGTATTAATGTGTGGGAAGATGGTCTGCTGGGCCACGTGAAGTGTCTCCCGGGGCACTCACTGTGGGATCCTCGTTTCTAGAACCCCCAGCTTTAGAGCAGAGCATGCTGCTCTTTATATGCATTGTATTTTCCCTGTTTGTTATAAAGCCCTTTATTCTGTTGCTTGAGCTCTATTAGCCATGCCCTTTTCTCTCATGCAACAACTGTTTGGTGGAACTTGTTCTACATCAGACCCTGTGACGAGTGAGGTAGCACACTTTATTCCAGAGACCTCTATGGCAGGGAATCCTAGCTGACACTGAGCTATTCTGTCTCAGTTGGTAGATAGTGTCTGCTCGGCCACCTCAGTCCCCACATCTCCCACCCCTGACCTCCCCCACAGCTCAGAACCCACAAGGCTAAGATGTGGCAGAAAAGGAGCTCCCAGAAGCCCCTTCAGTGGGAAGAGTGACATCTGTTTCCATTGAACAATGCTCCAGCCACTTTTGTTCAGTGTTTTTGATGTCTCTCCTGGAGATAAGTGAGAGCAAGTCATTATCAGGGGAGGTGGGGGTGGGGGGTGGCAGGGTGAGGGGGTGTGGTGCTAAAGCAGAAGATGTAGGATGGTCACATGAGTTTGAGTCACTAGGGAACCTCCTTAATAGAAGTTTGAAAATTAAAGTGTTCTTTTAAAATGCTCACTTATTATTCCTAAACTTATGTGCTACTGGATGATCTGCTGCCTTTTTAAGACAGCTTTGCTGAAGCATAATCTACATACCATAAAATTTACATATGTAAAGTATACACAAGCCAGGGATTTCTAGTAAACTCAAAGTCATACAACTACCACCACAATCTAATATTAGAATGTTTTTATCACTCCCAAAAGATTCCTTCTGCCCATATTCAGTCATTCTTCAGTCTCACCCTTCCCACCAGCCAAACACTAGATTAACTTCCTGTCTTCATCTACATTTTCTTCAAGTGAGTTTTTATGTTTCTACTGCCTGGGAATAAAGCTTACCTGGATCGTGGCCAAGTAAATTTAATAAGTTACTGTCTATCACCAGTGTCTTTGGTGACTCCGGGTAGGTAAACCATGTGCCTTTTGTTCTCATTGCCTTCTCTGTTACATCAAAGTCCTCTTGAGAATCAAATGAAAACAATAAATGCAAAAATGGTGTCAAAATCATCCCTATATATTCCAGATGTGGCAGATACAGCTACTTACTGAAACTCACCAAAGATGTCTTTTGTTTTATTTGTATTCTTTTTAAAAATGGGAAATATTTGTGACTTGAAAAGTCAGGGTCTTTTTCATAAATGCTGATTTCCAAGCTTCTGTAGAATATTGAAGAGCTGGCCAGGCTGGTCCTCCTTCCACAGATAGTGTTTTGCAGGCGCTCCCCATGCCCCCAGCCTCTTGTTCAGGTCTGTCATTACACTTTGGCTGCTGTCTTTTCTGACAATCATAAGATCCAAGTGAAATAGTTCCTATTTCCATGTTTCTGTCAAAGTGGGAAAGCGGAAGATAGACCAGGAGGGACGCGTATTTCAAGAAAAGTGGGAGAGAGCGTATTTCTTTGTGGAGGTGCAGAATATCCCGACGTGTCTGATCTGCAAGCAGAGCATGTCGGTGTCAAAAGAGTACAACCTAAGACGCCATTATCAAACCAACCACAGCAAGCACTACGACCAGTACACAGAGAAGATGCGTGACGAGAAGCTCCAGGAGCTGAAAAGGGGACTGCGAAAGTACCTCTCGGGGTCGGCAGAACCTGTGTGTCCTGAGCAAAAGCAGGTGCTTGCCAACGTGGGTCCGAGGAAAAATGCAGCTGTGCAGCCGGTAGAGGACATGGCGGGGAACTTGTGGGGGAAGTTACGTGAAAAAATTAGGTCATTTGTAGCATATTCGATTGCAATCGACGAGATCACAGACATAAATAACACCACCCAGCTGGCCATATTCATCCGTGGTGTCGATGAGAATTTTGATACGTCGGAAGAACTTCTGGATACGGTACCAATGACAGGTACAAAATCTGGAAATGAGATATTTTTGCGGGTTGAGAAAAGTCTTAAAAAGTTTAATATCGACTGGTCAAAATTAGTCAGTGTGGCCTCCACTGGCACACCTGTGATGGTGGATGCCAGTGACGGACTTGTGACCAAACTCAAGTCCAAGGTGGCGATGGTTTGCAAGGGCTCGGATCTGAAGTCCATTTGTTGCATTATCCACCCAGAGTCGCTTTGTGCTCAAAAGTTAAAGATGGACCACGTCATGAGTGTGGTCGTTAACTCTGTGAACTGGATATGCTCCCGTGGGCTGAACCACAGTGAGTTCACAACTTTGCTCTATGAGCTGGACAGCCAGTATGGCAGCCTTCTGTACTACACGGAGATTAAGTGGCTCAGCCGCGGGCTGGTGCTGAAGAGATTTTTTGAATCATTGGAAGAAATTGATTCTTTCATGTCATCCAGAGGAAAGCCCCTGCCTCAACTCAGTTCTCAAGACTGGATCAAAGATTTGGCCTTTTTAGTTGACATGACAATGCATCTGAATACTTTGAACATCTCTCTCCAAGGGCATTCACAAATTGTTACACAAATGTACGACTTGATCCGTGCCTTCTTGGCAAAACTGAGCCTTTGGGAAACTCATCTGGCGAGGAATAACCTGGCCCACTTTCCCACCCTGAGATCAGTTTCCAAAAACGAAAATGACGGCTTGAAGTATATTCCCAAAATTGTGGAATTAAAGACTGAATTCCAGAGCAGGTTGTCTGATTTCAAGCTCTATGAAAGAGAACTGACTCTGTTTAGCTCTCCCTTCTCCATGAAGATCGAGAGTGTGCAGGAAGCGCTTCAGATGGAAGTTATCGATCTGCAGTGTAACACGGTCCTGAAAGCGAAATACGACAAGGTCGGGGTACCAGAGTTCTACAAATACCTTTGGAGTAGCTACCCCAAATATAAAAATCACTGTGCCAAGATGCTCTCCATGTTTGGGAGCACCTACATTTGTGAACAGCTGTTTTCCATTATGAAACTGAGTAAAACCAAATTCTGCTCCCAGGTAAAGGACTCACAGTGGGACTCTGTCTTCCACATGTCAACGTGATACAGGGAGCATTCCCAGCATGCCCCTGGCTTTTGTGTCTGGAAAGGGACAGGTGCAGGGGGGGCAATGGGAGAAAGTGAATTACTTAATATTTCTGGTTTTGTTTCCCCCCCACGTTGATTCAGAAATATAACATGCAGTAACATACCTATTTGTATGACATTTTATCCCTCACCCTATAATTCACCTTTTCTTAACCTGGCCTGTTTCATTCATTCAGATAACTTGCTTGACTTCTATAGGCACTTGGGGCTATAAATTTACATCAATCAACAGAGAAATAGGGGCAGACAGGTATAACACTGAGAGGTTAGTATGCCCACCTATTTGTCTCCCGCCTTTGCAGGGTCTCCCTTGTGGCCTAACTTGCTTCCAAGGCAAGTAAGGTGAATCAGTTGGGAGTATGTTCACATGCTGTCATATTCCTGTGTCACCTTTTCTCTCCCTCACATGAATCCAGAAAGGTCGGAATCAAAAAGGAAACCCCCATCACAAATAAGGTTAGCTTTAAAAGGCCAAGTAAATTGAGGTTTTTGGAGATCCTTTTTTTTTACTTTTTTGTGAAATAATTTCACATTTATAAAAAAGTTGCAGATATGAAAGTAGTATAAGAACACTTACATGTCCTTTAGCCATATTCTTTCTCATGTTAATATTTCACTGCTATGTTGTATCATTTTTTTACTTTCTCTTCCTGTGTCTCCTGTGTATGTGTATATTCAACATTGCCTGACTATATATAAAGGCATGCCTCTGAGCATCTGTGTGTATACATGTATGTGCATGTCCTGAGCCATGTGAGGGGAGTCACATCTTTTACCCCTGAGTACTTTGGGCAGTATTTTTTTAAGAAGAAGAATATTCTCTCACATAACCATCGTTTAATTATCAGTTTGAATAATCGAGTGTTGTTGCTCCTTGACCTTTGGCTAAGTTCAAATGTAGTAAATCAAATACAGATGCCATAATTTTTATCTAGCTTTCCCTTCATACTCCAGTTTTGTCAAGTGACCCATAATATCCTTTTCCTTTATAGCACTCTCTCCCCCACCCCCTTGCCCCAGAAGATTGGCATTTGAAGGCACATGTATATCTCTGTGTTCTGACTCTCTATGCCAGTGTCTACTGGAATTAGTGACCACCAATGTGATAACTTTCCATGTTGGAGGGATTGGTCTGACTAGGGCACAAAATGCATGCTGACCCATGACCCAGTCAGGATGCAGTGAGAACAGCGAAGGGCGGCTGCGGGAAGGAGAGCTGGAGTACTAGGCCATTACCTGTGCAAGGTCCCAACCCCCATACATGCCATCCGGCACTGGGCGGTGTGACCCAATCCTGGCAGTTCCTATCCTTGGGAATAAATGCGGTTGCAGCTGGGCCCTGCCACCCGGAGGCTCACTTCCTGGGGAAGGAATCAGGGTGTTCTGGCCTAGACTGGGGGCAAGGGGGCAGAAGAGGACAACCAGCTCCTGGTGCAGCTGCTCAGATACTGAGCCCAAATATCAGAGGCATGGCCCTTCATCAGACCAAACTTGCCTGGACCTCCCAGCCCTCTTGGACTGGGGATTATCACATAAACTTCAAACAAGCCTGGGAGGTGGGCAAGACAAAACATCCCCTCCATTTATAGGCAGGTGACTGGAACACTGTGGTTGCGCTGCCACTCCTGTTGCACCTAGTCGGATCAGGCCCTCCAGGCTGGAAAGCAGTCAACTGCCCGAGTTGCCAGAGTCCAGTGGAGGCCTGCGTGACGCCTAAGTCAGTGATCTCCCTTGTGCAAGCAGCCGCTGTGCTGACAGGGAGATGGAGCAGATGCCTGTCACACTGCCCCCCTCCTCTGCACCTCATCTGTCCCTGAGGCTCCAGTTGGGATTAGCCAGTGGGCTACAGGGAGGGGACAGAAGGGCTCAGCTGCTGTTGACTGGGCCTTTATGGGATTGTTGTTTGAAGCAACTCCTAAGGCTCCAGATTCCTTCTTTATTCTACAGCATGTGCTGGGACCGAGACTTACTCCTATTACTGAGCCAGGACTGGAGGAGATGACTGATATCGATGATTTTCAGTAGTTATGGTGATGGAGAGTCAGCAAATGGAAACAGTGGGGAGTGAGCAGTAAAGAGATGAAATCAGGAGAGATGAAATTGGGGTCGGTGGGTCCCTGTCAGCTCCCAGGGGTGGGGGATGCGCTGCATCTGTGCCAAGACCCTGTCTTCCCACACCACGGTGGTCCCTCCTCCAGCCAGGACCCAGGGGTAGGGGGACTGCAGAGGACTCCATACAAGATCAAGCTCCGCCCTGACGGAGGACAAGTGTCCACCCTTCTTCAGGACTCTAACGGAGGGGCCAGGGTTGGCGTAGGCAATTTCTGTCCAGATGAACAGCCAACAGGGGCCCTTTGTTCCTCTTTGCAAGTGGCCTTGTGCAAACCTGGTGTTGGCCAAGGCCAGGACAGTATGCAATGGACAAGTATGCAAGTCGCTCTTGCAACTTCCCCTAGCAGAGTTGACACCCCTGAATCCCAGCTTAAGGCTAAAAACCCCCCACCCCCGCAGAGATGGAGCCCCGCCTACCCCGCGCCTCTGCAGAGCCTCTGTCTACTCCAAGAAATATTTATTAAGGGGGGCAGGCATCTAGGTGGGACAGGGCCCAGGGCTACCCTCGACAGCCGGACATCAGGCACTACAAGGATAGAGGCTGGTGGATGCAGAGGGGCAAGGCCGTCCTCCCGAGGTGGCCTCAAGTGGGAGTCGCCAGCTTCCGCCTGGTGCTCTCGCTGCAGCGATTCAAGATGAGGTCTGCGCTGGGCCGTGGGGGTACAGCAGGCTGCGGCCTTGCGCGATCGGTCTGCGGCTGCTCCTCTACAGGGAGACAGTGGTGGGTGAGAGGTCCTGGCCGGCCCCTGAGCCCCAGCTTCCCCCACTCTCCACCGCGTTCCAGGTCTTCCAGGCCCAGCCCAGAAGCGCTCACGCGGCCGTTCCCCGCGCTCCCCGCCCCCTGGGCCAGGCCCCGCCCCGGCCCGTCTGGCTCCGCCCCTGCCTGCCTGGCCACGCCCCGGCCCGCCTGGCCACGCCTCTCCGCCCCGGCCCACCCGCCCTGCACTCACTCTGCGCACTCCGAGGGTTCTGCGGGCTTTGTCGCGCTGGGCGGCGACGCTGCTGCAGGTAGCGGACACTGTTTCGTCTGTAGGTGTCCTGGCTGAGGCGCTTCCGCGACTGCTGGTGGATGCTGTGTGCGTTACGGATGGACGACCTGGCCATCGGAATAGGGGTGCTGGTCAGCGATCCGGCGTACCTGCGGCGTCCGCGCCTCCACCCCCAGACTCGCGCGGCCACCCCTGGGGTCGAATGGCCCGAAAGAGTGGGGCGTGGCAGAGGTTGAGAGCCCGGAGTCCCGCACTGCCCGGGTGTGGCGTGAACTCGGCTGCTTCCACCCCCGTAAGCCCTCAGCTCCTTCGTCCTCGGGCGCCGTCCCAACGCCCCTGGGCATGCGTGCCTTCAGCCCTTGTTCACACCCCTGCTTTCCTGCGCCCCCTCCACATGGAAGGTCAAGTCCAATGTCTTGACCCGGTGCGGGCCCTCTCCATAGTCCCCACCGCCACCTGGGTAGAGATCCTGTGGGTTTACCACCCCAACCCCAGAGACTCACTCACCTGCGGGGTGGCGCCCCTCGGCTCTTGATCTGGCGGTGGGCCTGGGTGTGGTCCTCACCGGCCTTCTGCAGGTACATGGACGGGAAGTAGCCGGTGACTTCTTCTTTCCTGTAACAAAAGTAAGTGGCAGAGGAGGAGGGAGCTAGGATAGGGGGTTCCAAATAGCTGGGGCCAAGGCAGCTGGGGTGGGGGGTAGCACTCGTCCAAGCCCCTCTGCACCTGTCTCAGTTTCCTCATCCCTGCAAGGTAGACCTCCCAGCTGTGATGGAGGGGAAGGCGTTCTCAGACCCAGACCTGGAATCATCTGCTATACCGTGTGTGTCAGCTTTTTCTTCCAGGGTGATTGCCTTCTGGAGTCTTAAGAGAATTCTGCCTCTCTCCCATTTATCAGGTCCTCCTATGTTTTCTTCCCAAATTTTCAGTTTTGGCCTTGATAAAGTAAAACCTGTGTTGTATCCTAAACAAATGTGTATGGCCTGAGGTAAGGGTCTCAGTTCATTTTTCCCCCACATGGGCATCTGATTATAGCATCGTTTGTTGAAAAAGTTTATCTTTTCAGGCCCTCCCTGGTGGTGCAGCATGTTGGAGCACTACACTACGAAGCTAAGCCAAGCTGTGGCCACTTCACACAGTTTAATCCTCACCCCGGGGGCTGACCCACATGGCGTGGCAGACCTCTCCTGACCCGCCCGCTGCTCCCCTGGACAGTGTACTTTGTTGATCTGCCTGTTCTGCTCCCCACTCTGTCTCTGGTGAATCCCCTGCACCTCTGGCTGTATCCCATTTCTGTATGCATAAATAAATAAATCTTTTTTTTAAAAGTTTATCTTCTCAATTGCACTTCTATATTTAGGAGTGGAAAAAAACTGCCTAATACAAACTTCACTCAGTAAAGTTCTAATTCTTCTTGGCTGGTGGGAGAATCAAGCAGATTTTCCAGAGCACCTGGTAGGGGAGCAGCACGTGGTCTAAGATGCTGAGACCCCTGCCTCCAAGTCTCCAGCCCGCACTGAGGGTGGGGCCCTGAAAACGTGTGCAAGGACCTGGGGCCCCAGTGGCTTCAGGGAAACGGCTCTACAAACCCCTGGGTGTTTCTGTTTTTCCCAGCATCAGAAGAAAATTACTATTTCTACAATCATTTGAAGAATTGGAAAATGCAATGAAAGGTTTAAAAAGAAAAGGGATGACAGAGTCTGTTCTACCAGTTGCCAAATACAGCACCCACTCACATGAGGACATGGAACCCTCAAGACAGGCAGTGCGGTCATCACTCACCTGCCAACAGGTGGATAGTGCTACCAAGTGGAGCCCAGAGAGGGGTAGTGCTTACCCAGAGCCATACAGCCAAGTCAGAACTGAGCCCAGACCAGCAGGGACTCTCAGACTGGGTCAGTGGAAAGGAGAGCGCACACTTACCTGATGACCCACCAGCCATCCAGGAGTTTATGAATGACCTCGATGGTTTCACCTTCCTGCAGGGATATCTCGTCCTCCATCACGGCAAGGTAGGCTTTGATGGTGACGTAGGACTCCCCTGAGCCACGTGAGAGGATGTGTGGTGTGAGAGTATGTCCAGCCCCCAGCTCGCCACTCCCGCCTGACCCGACCTGTCTGCTAGCTCTCCTTCCTCCAGCCTGCTCCTCCTAGGTGCCCCCTGCAGGCTCCTCCCATCCACTCCTGGTGGGATCTTGAACTTCTGTCCTCTTCCCACTCTCCACAGGGAGCTTGCCTATTCCCACTCACCACCAGCCACACCAGGGTCGTGGCCTGGCCAGGTTGGAAGTGGGGGACCAACTATGAGCATATTGGGCTCAATGCACATACTTTCTGCAGTTTTTAAAAAGAAGCCACACCACCATATAAAGTTGTGAAATCTTGCCATTTTAAGATATGAGCAACCGATTAGAATTTTTCTCAAACTCCACCTGGGCCACATTCAGCCTCAAGGGCACCAGTCTACTGCTCAAGTCAGTAATGCTGTAGCCACCGCCCACCTGCCCTCCTTCACAGGTCTCAGGTCTGCGGGAGCTGGCCCAGTCCAGCTGCTCACTGTCCCAGACACCTGTCCCTCTTACCTCTAGTCCCTGTCCTGAAGGGCATCAGGGCCTCCAAGCCAGACAACAGAGCTCAGCCCTGACTGCCCTCTCAGAGGATTCACTCTGACCTCCTGGGATCCCATGCACCCCTCCTGCTGTCTTCCCATCCACCTGCAGCCACAGCGTGCAGTGGTACCTGCATAATTGGGCTCCGGGTCCTCAGGCTCATCGGGACTATCCAGGGGTTCCAAGTAGGATGCTGGGACCCAGCCACGCTTTGTCTTCATTTGGCAGAACCACCAGCCTGTGCCAGGGGGATGGGGCAGTAAATCACCATGGGGGGAGGGATGACAGTGATAGGTACGCTCAATGCAGTCACACGACACTTGGATTAAACAAAAATCACCTTCCCCTCACCCCGTGCCAAAATCTCACACATCATAGACAGAAGTCCTGCTTGGAACCTGCATCACACACATCATGAGAAGAGAGGTTCGCCTGTCTGCCTACCCCACTGTAACCCCCATCATGCACAGCCATGGTATGGAATAGGTGTAGATAACCAAAGACACCCCAGAAATACATTTAGATGGAAGGTGACCCCAAGCATGGAGAGCGGGATTGGGGCCCCTGAAGGGAGCTGAATCTCCCTTCAAGCCCAGGTCAGGCAGGAAGGAGCCCTGAGCCCTCCTTGATAGGGTGCTGGCAGCCATAAGCCAGGCACGGGGGGGGGAAGGTCAGGCAGGCGGGGAGGCTGACCGCTTTGGCTCTTCTCCACGATGTCCACCACGTCCCCCACGGCCAGCGCCATCTCGGAGCCCGAGTTCTTCTCATAGTCAGCGATGGCACGGTATGTCTGCAGGATGATGGGGCCTGTGATGTCTGGGCAGAGGGGTGGCAGGGCAAGTGGACACTGAGAGGTGGCCAGCTTTTTCCTGGCTCTCCCCTGCCTCCCCATTAGGGCTCTGGCACCCAGCTCCAGGCACGTCAGCGTGGAGACGGCAGAGGCAGTTCTTCGCATTGACAGTGCCTGGCAGCTTCCTGCAGCCACATGCTTGACCACCTCCCTTCCCTGTCATCTGCTGAGATTACCGAGGGGCTCAAGCAACCCTTCCCAACCTTAACGTGCACACGAACTGCTCGGGGACCTTCCTGAACGCAGCTCTGTAGGTCTGCGGTGAGACCCCAGAGTCCAAAGTCCCAAGCGGTCCCTAGGCAGTGCCATGGCCACCCATGAGGGGCGGTTATGTCCTCCCCATCCAGATGCACGCGTTGGCCCCTGATACCGGGCCATTAGACTGGCTGTGTCTGTAGACAGGGCCTCTCAGGAGGAGATTACGGCTAAATGAGGTCATAGGGTGGGAGAGGGGCGACTTGTCCCAGAAGGATGACGTCTCTCTAAGGCAGGGAAGGGGCACCAGGCTGCACAGAGGTCACAGCGAGGGGGCAGCCCTGGGCAGTGGTCTGAAGCCAGGGGCCGGGGCCTCCACCGCTCCCAAACCTGCCTTGATCTTGGACCTGCAGCCCCCAGCATGGGAGGGAGTTAACCTCTGTTGTCTGATACTTTGTTAAAGCTGCCCGAATTGACTAGTCGCTGCTGGCCCCTGGACCACACTCTGAGTGGCCCAGAATCTGGGGCCGTGGCCCTGACCAGGAGGAATCCTGCTCCACCCCTCTGGCTGTGTGACCCCTGGGATGAGCCAGGGGTCAACCAAGCCTCCACGCGTCCATGGTGAAATGGGGAAAGAGCACCTCGGCTCCTGTGTAAGGCCGTCTCAGCCATGACTGCGTGAGCTCAGCACGGACAGGTTCGGACAGCAGCAGGCGTGAGCGCGGGCTCCCGGCTGAAGTGGTGTCACTGACTGGCCTTGGAGACCAGGTCAGTGTGCAGGGGTGGGGCGCTGTGGTGTGGGTAGGCACCGAGCGCTGGGAGCCTGAACAGTGCTGTAAACTAACATTATCATCCCCAAAAGAGAATATATCAGCCATCCCTGGGGGCACAACAGGGTGAAACACAGCTATCACAGCCACTGCAGCCTGAGTTTGATCCCCATCCAGGGAGCTGACCCACATGGTGCAGCAGACTCTCCAGTCTCCCCCACTGCGCCCCTCAGCAGCGTATTTCTGTCAATCTGTCTGTTCTGCTCCCCGCTCTGTCTCTGGTGAATCCTCTCACCCCATGCACCTCTGGCCTGTATCCCAGAGAGAATATATCACTAATAGCCAGAGAGAGAAGCACTTGCATTTAAAATAAACTATTGGTAGAAAGGCAAAAAAATTAGACACAGTCAAACCCCTCCATCACCCTGACAGCTTCCTTTTGTCCCTGAAACCTGTTGCTTCATTCCACCACAGCATCCCCGCACCTTTGGGGGCGCTGCTCTGTGGAGAGCAGCGTGGTCACTCCAAAGGAGCCCCCTGCACTGTCCAGTGACCACCCCCCAAAGATCCCAACCCCAGTGAGGTTCCCATCACAGCTGCTCTTTTCCTTGCAGTCAGAGTCTCAACCATGTCAACAGTCCCCTTGGGTGGCCCACACTTAGCCACTGCCCCCCTGAGCCCCCTGCCCTGCCCTCTCACCAGCAACACCGCTCTTGCCATCTTTAGGCATCAGGTACGTCTCTGGCTTTTTCACTCTGTGGGAAATTACAGTCTGGGTTAGACACTAGCTTCCCCTGGGGGAAGGGAAGCTGTCTGCAGCCCTACAGAACTGGCGGGAGGGAGGGGAAGGTTGGGGGAGGCAGGGGCCACAGCAAGGACAGGACATGCCCCCAGCCACAGGCGGGAGAGCCCCATCCCCCACTGCAGACCCAGGGGAAGCCGCCAGCTGCTGACCAGGGCAGGCCTGGGGAAAGGCCAGACAGCTCCTGGGCCATGTCCCCTCCTGGGCTCTCCCGAGCAAAAGGAAGAGGACCCGCCCACCATGGGAGCCAACCCCGGCCATTTCAGGGGGGCCTCTAGGGCCCTTAAGCACCAGCTAGAGCAACACTATGTGGGTGACTCCCCCAACACTCTGTGACCAGAGAGACAGAAGGGTCTTTCCCCAGTCTGGGTAAAGTAGAAAGTGCTCCTGCCTGGCCCTGGTGTGGGGGTGGGGAGGGCAGGCAGCGGGTGAGGTGGCAATTAGCCAAGGCCTCCAGCCCTGGCCTCTCAGTTGAGTGGCCACGGGCCTGTCCCTGACAGAGGGGCCCTGCGCCCAAGGGCTGCAGCCCTACCGCCGGCAGTGCCAGGGTCAGGATGGGGACCCGGGGCTTGGAGCCCCAGTCCAGAGTGTCCCCTGGAGTACAGGCTGGGGTGCTGAGGGGTTCAGATCCCCCGAGCTGGAGTCCTGCCCCCTCTTTCACAGTGCGGCTCCCCTCACTGGCAGCACCCTCACCTGTAAAATGGGGGAAGTCCCACCTCCCAGGAGTCCAGGTTCACCCCTCCCCACCCCCCACCTGCCACTTACTCATTGTTGGAGGGGAGTTTAAGGTCATCTGGGCGAACCTTGAAGAAGTCGAGGAGGTGTGGGCAGCGGGAGATCTTGACCGGCAGGCCCATCAGCGTGCTGAAGTACTCGGTGAGCGTGCCCTGGCGGCTCTCCGCCACCCGCTGCCCATCGAACCACCTCGGGGCTGGTCAGCGTGGGGAGGGCAGAGAACCAGTGAGCACAGTGGCCAGGCCAAGGCCCAGAGGGGTGGGAGTGGGGAAAGCAGGAGGCAGGTGCAAGGGGTTGGAACAGGTAGCCAGCCCCACAGCTCACCTGGCAGGTGGGGGATGATCCTGTTTTCCGTGCTGATGTCCCCCGCCTCTATAGGAAACATCTCCTTTAACACTTTCTAGACAGGATAATAAAAAGACGTGAAGGAATATTCTGTATTACAACACTCTAAAGGAGCAAAATGGGAAGAACCGAATCATCATTCCAGCTAGAAACTTCCGAGGCATTCGCCCTTCCTCTCTCTGCCATGGCACATCCAAGCCCCAGCAAGTCCCTCTGGTTCTGGTCTCAAGGTTCATCCAGAATCTGACCTCCCTCACTGTTCCCACTGTGGACACCGAGGCTGCGCCACTCCCAGGACTGGACTATCACAACCACCTTCCTATGTCATGGCCTCTTCCATCTTTGTGGGTTCTCAACCCAGCCCCAGAGGCACCCTCTGAAACCCTAAGTTAGATCCTGGCCCTTCCCCCGCTCAGAGTGGGAGCCAGGCGCCAGGCTGGGCTCCAAGGGCCTGGCACTGCCTACCTCACTGGCTTCTCAGCTACCAGTCCCCCTGCTGTTCACTCTGCTCCAGCCACCCTAGACTACCAGACCCAATAAAGCCTCAGGACCTTTGTAGCCGCTATTCTTATTCACCATCCCCTACTTAAAAAATGTTTTCTCTCTCACCGGATGGTTTCACTCATAGCTGGAGTGTAATGGATCAGGCGAGAAAATAACAAGAATAATGAACAACCATATACCAGTGACATTTTGTGGGGGTGGAGTGGGGAATGGGATCAAAAACGGGGGGGGGGTCGGGGGGAGAGGGAAGTGCACAGGATTATGGTGATGGCACACGGGTGACTTGGTGATGGGAAACCCGCAGGGATTACAATTTGAGATGGAAAAAAAGTACAAAATGATGTAAAAATAAACTGTTATAAAATAACAATTAAAAAAAAATGTTTTCTCTCTCTCAGTCTTTGCTCAGCTACCAACCCCCACGGAGGCTTCCCCTCCATACCCAGCTCTCCCAAGCTCCCCTCCCTGAGTTAGTGTTGCATGGGGCAGCGTTTGCTTGGGAAGATGAAAAAGTTTTGGCGATGGAAAAAGCCCGGTGGATGTGCTTAACACCCCTGGACTGCACACTTAAAAATGTATGTTTAGCTGAAAAAAACATTTCTGCCTTCACTGTGATCTGGTGGGTGGGAGACTGGGGGGGACTCTGGTTTTCGGCCCCTGGCAGCAGCTCGCCTGTTCTCCCCAGGAGAGCAGGGACTGGGCACCCTCCCTACCCCCGGCATGCATGTGCCCGCACTCACATGGAACTCGTAGATCTCTGTGAAGCGGCGGTAGACCACCTTCTCAGACAGGTCCTGCCACTTCACCAGGAACATGTATACCTGGGGGACAGAGGGGTGAAGGGTTCCGCTCAGCTTCCAGGGGGCCTGCCAACACTCCTGGAAAGAGCCCACAGAGCTGGATGGGAGCCTGGCCATAGAAAGGCACCAGCTCGAGCCTCCCTGTGGTACAGGGTTAAGCACAGCACTATGAAGCAAGCAGCAGTCACTGCAGCACGAGGAGTTCAATCCCTGACCCACATGGCGCAGCAGACCTCTCTTGACCCGCCTGTTGCTCCCCTCAGCAGTGTACTTCAGTCCATCTACCTGTTCTGCTCCCACTCTGTCTCTGGTGAATTCTCCTCTGGCCTGCACCCCAGCTCTTATATCCATAAATTTTAAAAAATCAATCTTTTAAAAAAAGAAATAAAGAAAGACACCAACTCCAGGGAGTAGCCGCTGCCACTACCCAGGTGAGGACCAGGGCAAGAAGCTGCCTTGTCACAAATGAGCACAAATGGTCATCTGTAGTTGGAGGTAAAAGTAGGGGCCCCTGTGGGGCTGGGGTACAAGCTGCAGCAGGGGAGACACAGACAGGCTGGCTCACGCGGTACAAGAACTCTCTGACCTACGGCTCCCTCCAGTGCCATGAAAAAGAAAGTAGATTTGAGGTGCCAGGAACTGAGGGCCCAAGGTTGTGGGGTGAAGTTAATAGGCTTGGGGTTTCCTTCGGGTAGTGGTGAGAACAGTTTTGTCCCGGCTTCTGTGACCGGCCTCAAGGAAGAAAGACAGGGGGCAGAAAGGCTGAGCAAGCAGAGTTTATTGCTTCCTGACAGCAGCTGAGACAGAGCCCCTGGGTGGGTTCCACAGCTACTGCCAACTCAATAAGGGAGAAGGGTCTCCTGTATAGGTCCTAAGCTCAGATTTCAAAGGGGTGAGTCATCGCTGTGTCCTTGATGTGAGGCCCAGTTGGTTATCACCTTCAGCTAGTCCCATCCCGATGCAAGGCCCAACTTATTACCACCCTTATCCAGTCCTCCGCAGTAAATCTTTGGTCAATCCCAACAAGAACCTTCCAACACTGTCAGGGCGGTAGTGTGACTGTGACTTCACTACACACTGTAGAGTCCCACCCGCCCTGGGCGAACTATACACTACGGCACTTACATCCCAATCCTAAGTGCCCTGGTAAGGGAGGAGAAGACAGTAAAAGTAGCTAGCAGACCACAGCCCAGCCCCAGGAAGGAGCATGCCAGCCCCACAGCACCGGCGACTGCCCAAAGCTTTACGCTGCAGGGAAAAAGCCGAAAATGGAAGGTCCCGTGCGAATTCCAGGGCTGACATTCTAGAGCCAGTAGGAGCTGGAGTAAATCAGAACTGCGAGGGTCCCAGCGGGTCAGAGAGGAGTGAGTGGGACTGAAGGACCTAGATACATCCTCTATCTTGATGAGAGTTTAGAGGTTGCAGGGACACCCACCATCAAAACTCAGCAAATGTGTCTCTAAGATTGGTGGATTTCATTTCGTATAATTCTATATCCAAAGAGAAAACACTGGAAACAAATACGGATCTTTATTTGGTGACCTGTCTGCTCAAGCATTTAGGGCCAAGGGCACTGATTGTAACTGCTTTGAAATGCACCAGAGGGTGGGTGGCTGGAGGGTGGGTGGGTGGGTGGGACAAGGCAAGGACAGGGGGTGGTGATGGTAGGATTTAATGGGCTTCAGTGCTTATTGGTAACTGGCTCATTCCCACCTCTTGGTTATTGTGAATAACCAGTGAACATGGGTGTACAAATATCTGTCCAAGCCTGCTTTTCATCCTTTTGGAGATGATATAATAATCCCGTTCCATTTTTTGAGGCCCCCCCTACAGTTTTCCATAAGGGTTGCACCAGGTCTATTCTCACCCACAGAGCTCCAGAATTCCAATTTCTTTACGTCCTTGTCAACACTTATTTTCTGCCACTTTTAAAATGTTAAATATTGACTTTCCTACTAGGTGTGAAACAGCTTTAATTATAATAGATTTTTACTCTGTTTTAATACCTAATATGAATAGTGTCACTACATACTTCACCTTTTTATTTTTATTATTATTTAAAAAGTATTTATTTATGCATACAGAACTGGGGTATAGGCCAGAGGTGCAGGGGCAGTGAGAAGATTCACCAGAGACAGAGTGGGCAGCAGAACAGGCAGATTGACTAAGTACACTGCTGAGGGGAGCAGCCAGTGAGACAAGAGAGGTCTGTAGTGCCATGTGCGTCACCTGAGGTGGGGACAAGGGATTGAACACAGGCTGCAGCTGCTGCTGGAAACTTCTTATCACTGCGTTTTAACTCATTGCATCACCAGGGAGGGCCCTACTTCATCTTTTTAAATGAATGTTTGAAGAAGCAATGACAGAAGTTGCATAAGGGAATATCATAGAGATGTTAACCAAAAAAAGCAAAAGAGCTTTTTTTTCAGGGAAAGTCCAGAATGTTATAATAGGGAAAAAATGAGCACATCACCTAATAAAGAAGAAAAAAAAAGAAAATACTTGTGTGTGTGTGCATACTCATATTTGCAAAGAGAAATATAGGAAAGATGAAAACTAGAATGACTCTTCATGTACATATTTTTGTAAAATTTTTGATGGCTAGTCACATGTTAATATTTGCATATTTCAAGATAAACTTGACAGATTCTTTAAACTTCAAAATTGGAAACAAAAAGAAACAAACTTAATTCTATATCACATGGGTATCAACCATATCAAAGAAAAGTGGGGGGGAAATGCAAATGACTTTGTAGTTACAGTACTTTTCCTACCCTTAATCTAGCTACAAAGAGAAGCCCTCCCTAGTGGCACAAATGGTTAAGCGACAGCACTATGAAAGCTGTCAGCAGCCACTGCAGCACGAGCTGACCCACATGGCACAGCAGACCTCTCCTGACCTGCCTGCTGCTCCCTGCTGCTTCTGGTGACTCCTCTCATCCCCCAACCTCTGGTTTGTAGCTCAGGTCTCGTATGCTTAAATAAATAAATCTTTAAAATAAAATAAAAGAACTAAAGAAAACCTAAATGTGTCTTTCTAGTTCTGTGGGTGTATTGTTAATTACGTGGGCACAGTAATTCTGAAGCAAGTTAATGTGATGCAGAACTGAGCAGAGAAGTCCCTCCCTCTAACCGGGCAGCAGCCTGGACAAAAGGCGCTAGGAATATGAAATGTGAAGACAAGAGTGACATGAAGTGGCCAGTCCCCCCAGTCAGTCACCAAGAGGACTAGCAATAATACCTCTCGCATCCAGGGCCTGGGTTCTAGTATCACTCCCCACTAAAAAGAACCAGGAGTCCCCTGGGAAATAGCTAACTTCCGGGTTTGGTCTGGGAAAGAACAAGTAAGTTCAGGACACCATGTGCCAATGTAAGAATGTGCCAAAGGGGTACAGAAGCCAGCTTGGAGGAACCCCACTGGCGAGCTGGGACAATCAAGGTAACTAGCAACAGCAATGCATTATAACCCACTGCATAAAAAAAGTTGAGGCCAGGGAAACAGAGATTAAAACACACAGATCACAGAAGGTTAAATCGACGAATGAAATGCAGAAGATGGTCCTGTATTGGATTCTGACACTGATCAAGTAGGACAATTCAGAAAATCTGAATAAAGTCTATGGGTGGGTAATAAAGTCAATGTTAATTACTTGGTTTTGACATATTTGCTTTGTGGCTATAAGGGATTGCCCTTGGTTTGAAATGACATACCTGGTAGAATTTACTGGTTAAGAAGCATAGTTTCTCCAACTTCCTCTTACAGGATTCAGAAGAGAGAGAGACAGAGACAGAGGAGAAAGGAGGGGGCAGACAGAGGGAGGGGAAAGAGAAAGGGAGGGAGAGAGGTGAGAATGTGGGTGAAAAAGTGTTCAAGTTATTGGTACTCTGGGGGGCAACTTTTCTCTAAACTTTAAATTATTTCAAAATTAAAAGTTAAAAGGAAGAAAGGTCTCGGCACAAAATACTAAATGTGCCCCAAAAGTGCCATACAATTTGCTAGTTCTTCCCTGGTGCCTCTGGACTTGGGGACCTCAGCCCCAGGATAGGTAAGGGGGGCTTTGTGGTCACTGTGGGGATGTAATAGGACCCCAGTATAACTGACCCCACAGGCAGCTGGGGGATAGCGAGGCTGCCAGCCTCCCCAGGGGCCCCCACCCTGACAGCCCTGCCCAGGGAGGGGCTCAGGAGGGAGCCTCCCTCTGGATGCTTAAATTGCTGGGCTGCCAACGAAGAACAAACGAGCAAACAAACCGGTCAGGAGAGGGACCTGCAGGGGGGGTGGGGGTCAAGGACTGAGGCTGACCTCCCAACCAGGGGTCGGTGCCCAGAAGTGCCTTTTCTAGGCGGCCCACATCAGGGCGGCCAGACGCGCAGGGTGGCGCTGAGACGGAGCATCCGCCCAAGGTCTAGCCAGGGAGCTGTGCATGTGTCAGGTGTACCCAGGGTCAGCACCCGCGCCCCCAGGCCGGGGAGGGCGTCCAGGGCTCGCTCGTGGCTACTCACGTAATGCTGGCTGGGGACAAAGCGCTTCTCGAAGCCCAGAAGGGCGATGCTGCGGATGAAGGTGTCACCCATGGTGGGGCTGAGAGTGGCTCACTCTCTGGGGGCGCCCGGGGCTCTGTCTTAAAAGGGCTGGAAAGAGGAAGTGACTTCTGGCCTGGAGGCCTGGGAGGGCACACAAAAAGGTTCTGCTTCTTCTTTCATTTTCTGGGGTTCCTCGAGCTCCCAGGACTGAGACATGCTTGTCCCTGTCCCCCTGCGCCCTACTAGGCCCTTAGGGTGGGAAGCAGCCAGTGCCCATGTATCTCCACCCCTCTCCTCCTGGGTCCCTCTGTTGGTCCTGGCCCCTCAACTCCAGGGCCTTTGCACTCCTTCCACCTGTAACATCTCCCACAGATCTCTACCTCCCGCCTCCATTTTCTACAGGTTTCTGCTCAAATGTGGCCTTCCCGATAAGGTCACATAAAATCGCAAAACTTCATACTTTCCATGCCCCCACCCCTCCCTGTGTTTTTCTTCAGGGCATTTTTCAAGACTGGCTTCTTACTGGTATTATTTTACTTTTAGAAAATGGTTCTCCTTACCAGGTTATGAGCCCCAGGAGGGCTTGGCCTCTTTGACAAGGAAGACTGTTCCACAGCAGTGCGGGCAAACAGGTGCACGTCCCCGGCGTGGCTGAGTACCGGCAGCAGGCAGGACAGAAGTTGAGTGAGACTTTGGAGCTCAAGTTCTGATCAAAGAGTAGGCCTCAGAGCCTAGCCCATGAAACAGGCGCCGGGAGAAGGGGTTTGGGGTGAAGAAGTCAGGAGGAAGGACAGTAGGGAGCCAGGGGGGAGTCTGGGGTACCCCTCCCTGAAGCCTGGCTGCTCAGGCAGGCAGGTGGGAGTCTAGGTCTTTGGAGAGCTGGTCCAAAGCCAGACCCAGGCAGTCTGGATGGGGCCAGTTTGTGGCCCTGAGCTGCAGATTCCAGGATTGAGACCTGAAGCAAAGATAAACAAGCATTGAGAGCCAGAGTTTCTCTGGACTCGTGGGGACCATAGCTGATGTCTGGCTGAAGGGGAGCGGGAATGGGGGGACCAGATCAACTGCCAGGAGGTTGTTCCGGGTTTGTCATCTAAGAACTGCGGGGTCCACTTTCACTCTGAAAGATTTGCTTGGCAGGTCCCTCCTGTCACTGATGCCTTGCCCCTCCCAGAGGTCACTAGCCTTGGGTGTGACTGGCCTTGCAAATCCCCTCTGGTTATTTCCATGTACGTATCTAGGATCTTCCCACATAGGACACACTGTCAGCTATGGAAGGGAACCGGTGTGCAAAACATGGACAACCCCCAGGCACTGTGCTGAGGGAAGGCTTGGAAAATGTACCTGCTGAGGGCGCCTTTTGCCCAAGCTGAAATGCTGCCAAGCCAGCCTTCCTGTTGGCAGCCAGCGAGGCCCCTGGGGTGGGCACGGGGACAGTGGTGATGTGGGAGCACAGAGGGCAGGATGTGCCGGTTTCACTGGTGTAGTCGTCTTCTAAAAACCAGCCTTGTCCAGCGGTATAAAGATCTGTGCTGGGCCCTTTACTCAGGCTACACTTACTCCAGTGAAAGGTTCAAAACAGAGGCTAAACTGGGTGGGTCACTTCCACTTCAGGAGGGAGCAGTGGCCTGAGGCTCAGGGCTGAGTGGCTGTCCTTTGAATATTCACTTAATGCCTGCCTGGTGGGTCCTCTGCTTGTCCCTGGCCTCCCATGTCCCACATGGGGCTGCTTTGAGGGCCCCACATGGATGCATCTCCAGTGCTACTGATCTACCTGAGTGGACAGGGGCGAGCAGAGCAAGTCTGCGGGAGGCTGGCAGTAGGCAGACCTTCCTTTGGGTACCAGGTCCCTGGCCCTCTCCACTACCGCTGGCCTGTCTGGCCAGGCTGCCTTGCTCTGAGACACCAGCACAGCACCCCAGGGCCAGCTGCTGCCTTTCCACGACCCTCCTGCGAGCTCCCGACACTTTGTTGGCACTTGGCAGGGCACATGAAAACCATGAAGTGACAAGACCTGGGTTTTAGTTTGTAAGCAGGCTCCTGGTGTGTTGCTGGAGTCAGATAGGATTTAACTTTGATATATGGATAAACAAGTGATTAAAATGATTTTTAAAAAATGGATATAAAGGAGATAATACATAGATAAGATTTTTATTTTGGTGGGGAAAATACCTTTTTAACTTTTAAAACTTTATTGTAAAATATGTATAAAACTTCAGGAAAATGTAGTTACTGGTTATGAAAGTTTGGTTACCATCAAATTGACAACTCCCAAGAAGGAATTAGCCTGTATCAGGAGTGTTTATGATCACATTTTATCCCCACAATGAAGTTGTCAGCGAGGTGACAACTTTGTAGGTCACTGGGAACTGGTGTAGGGAACTGGTGGCTGAAGAGCTTAAACCCAGACTCATGCTGTCTTGCCATGTCCTTGAACCATGTGAATAATGAATGTTTGGGGGTTTATGAGGTAAGAGTCAGGGCATGAAAGCTGCAGATGGACCCCCAAATCAGGCCAGAATGGGAGGAAGGCTGGCTTTCCAGTCTGCCCGAGTATCTTGGCCTGTCTCTTCCTTTGGGCCTTCCCCTGCAGCCCCAGAAAGCCAATTCCTTAACCAGGAAACCCACAAGGCGGGAGGGCGCTGGGTTATTTGGACCAGCACCAAGACCTAGGCAGTGACTGCTGGGCCTTGTCAGAGTGGTGAGCTTCCCAAGACAAAGCAGAGCACCTTGGATGGATTTCCTATCTAGCTGAAGGCCCACTTGCTACTCCCTTTCAGGGAACAGGCTGGATCCCCTGGCCAGGCCCTGTGGTGGGAATCCTAGGCCAGCCACTGACCCAGTTCTGGTCTGGTGCTCTAGAAACAGGATATGTGTGCTGAGGCACTGAGGCTAGCAGGAAGGCAGGCATGTGGCGGTGACGCCGGCTCTGTGGGCCACGCTCTAAGGGCAAGTTGTTCTCTCTTTGTGGGAAGTGCAGGCCACTATCCAACTCTGTGCCTTCCAAGGGTCCGAGTCATCCTTTCTTGGCAAAACTCAGGCTTGGAATGGGCTCTAATAGGTGAGGTGTGGGCCTTGTGGCCAGGTGCCTAAACTTGGGCCATGGGTTCAGAACACAACTGGATCACACCCCTGGGAGTCACACATCCTGGAAATTCTCCCCTACGCCTGAGGACTCCAATACTCTGCCAAGGGACCAAGGTATGAGGGCTCCAGGAAGCAATATGCAGAGGCGGCAAAGCTTTTGGTTCTGGAAGCCACATGGGCTCACACACAGACCTGCTTTCAATTGATTCTTTAATTTCTAGTTGTGTCAGGTTGTCAAACTCACTTCTTCCTTAAAATGGTACCAATGACTGAACTATTCTGTGGGACTGAGGTCCAAGTGCTTGACTTGGCAAAAGTCAGTTATCAGGAAATGCAGACAGCGCACAGGGGTGCACTTTCCCAGAGGTGCAGGATACAGATGGGGGAGTAAATCTGCCGTCCAGGTATCAAATCACTTTCTTGCTGTTTAAACCAGATCTGCATGAAGGAAATGCTACAACGGACAGCAGGAACTCTGGGCTCGCGGGGCCTGGAGCTGGGCTGGCAGTGGGGGCAGTCTGGGCACAAGCCGGATGTTTCTTGGCCTGGGCTCCTCACAGGCTGGCTGAGGTGGAGTTGAGGACAGGGATTCTGAGGCTGGGAAGGTTTTCCAGAAAAGCTCAGTTAAGGACAGCAACCAAAGCCACGACTGTAGCCCGTGAATACAGTCTGTTCCCACTGCACTGCAGTGTCTGGTAGAGCCCTTGGAAACAAGAGGGCCCTTGACAAATAGCTGACCAGTGGGAATTACCTGTTACTCCCACACTAGGTGAGGCCTGCCCCTCTAGCCCACTCCCTGAGACTTCCTCATTCATTGGGTCTGTCATGTGGTGAAAGCTCCTTGAAGCTCATTAACCACTCATGGAGGCTAGATTCAGCAGTATGCTACCACCACAGGGAGTTTGGTGGAAATTTGTTTAAATTTGATGCTAAATTCAGCAATAAGGAAAACCATGCCTCCAGATGCAGTTACCAGGGTTGGCTTGGCATTCCCCTCTCTAGCCCTGAAAAGATACAAGAAGTCAGCTGGCAGCCTTAAGCCTGGGACTTACCAAGAGTTTGGTACCTCTGTCACTTGCAGGGGGAGGCACAGGACAGCAGATAGGTGTGAAGGGGACAGGCACCTGCATACAGGTGGCTTAGCAAGGTGAACTGGCTGGTCCTGCTTCCAAGAAGTACATCTGCTTTTGCTTTCGTGACCAGGGACATTTCA